GCCTACTTTCTTATGCAACACAGGCCCACCTGCTCAGGGGTGGCACCACCCATAGTGAGCTGGGCCCTCCTACATCACTCATCAAGAAGATGCCCCACAGACATGGCCACAGGCCAGTCCAATAGAGGCAATTCCCGATTGAGGCTCCCTCAACCCAGGTGTGTCAGGTTGACACTAAAGCCGTCCCGCACAGGTGTAAAACCACAGCAAGGTTGTATGTCTCGCTTGTCCGATGGAGAACTAAATTTAGCAGTATATACTGTTGGTGGGATATTTAGCAAGACTGTGTATGCATTTACACTTTTACCTAGATACAAGAGCCTATCCCAGATAATATGCCGGCAAAAATATCAAAATACGTACCTCTTAATCATTTGTTACGGTGCCGTTTACAGCAAACAACCTCTATGCCCAACACAGGAGCAAGAACCATACCATGGGGCTAGAGAGATGGCTCAGCGGTTAAGAGTACTGGCTGCTCTTGCAGAGGACCCAGGTTCAATTCCCAGCATCCATATGGTGGCTAAGAATCATCAGTAACTCCAGCTCCAGGGAAATCCAGTGCCCTCTTCTGACCTCCGCAGACATTGCACAACATGGGTGCACTTATGTACATGCAGGCAATACACTCATACATGCAAAATAAAAATAATAAATAAGATATTTTCAAGAAGAATCATACCACGGAATTCTATGCAGCTGGGAAAAAGAGGAATGTCTCTATACATTGCCATGAAATTATCTCCAGGGACAGAGAAGCGTCTGTACCATATCCCTAGTGTTTATCTAAAGAGATGTATAAATGTGTTTTCATAATTACCTGTACCTACATACAGATATACATTTGTGCATACGTACTTTGCCTTTGTTTCATTGCGTGTTTTTAATTTTTTTATTTAAAATAGTTTTGAACTGATGATGAAAATATAAAAACTGTACAGATTAATGGATTCCATGCATTGATTCAAAACACATTTGCATGGTACAGTGTTTGAATTGCTACCTGTGGGCCCAGGACTGTACACAGAACTCATCACGCCACACAAACTCAGCCCACACCGATCACTGCCCTGCCCACACCCTCCCTTCTGCTCACCTGGCCTCTGTGTATTATTTTAATGAAAAGATAAACCAAGGAAACAATGTTATCTGTAGGTCGCGTGAAGAAACAGGGGAGTGTGCCAAGACACCGCCTCTGAATGTGGTGTTGACTTGGGAATCACATAATTAAATCTTAAAAGAAATCTCTAAAAAATTGAAAGAAGATAAAATACACTGGACTACCTGGTTGTGTATAAAGTTCATTAAGTAACTGTACATAGGAGAATTCTTTTAAGAGGCTTTAGAAGTGTAAACAATAAATAAAATTGTTAACTCTGCTCACTAATAGTGTTGCTGGAACCGATATTGCATTGCTTGGATTAGATCATAATGCCATTAGAAGCCAACATTTTCAGCAAAAGAACAAAGGAATGCAAATTTCAAAAATACAAAAAGTTTAGATAAAATGCTCATGTGCATTGGAAATACCAATTTGAATTCCTGATATATTTTCTCTTAAAGGAATAAAAAAAGATGTCTGCTAGCCCTGTATTCTGGGAGAGAGAGGCACAGCCTCCGGAGCACCCAGCCAGGGCAGTGCCTAGCAACGCCGGTCCTCATTAAAGTGAGCCTGGGCTCCTTGGGGACATGGCTGATTCCAGGACAGGGGTAGGATTCCAGCAGGAAGGGAGGTGCCAAGGGAGACTGATGAGACTTTGCCAAAGGAACTCAGAGGTCCCTGAAAGATCTGTGCCAAAGGAGGGAAGGTGAGAGCAGAGGGTAACCACAACTGTGGCAAGCTAAACACATCCACTTCCTTCAAACTCAGAAGAGTCTGAGGAAACAAAACTGGTCGTCACCCTTGGAGATGTTAGAAAAACAATTTATTTGTAAAATTGGTAAATAAGCTAAATGTATCAACAATCCATCCTCTCTGTGCAAATTGTACCTGAGGATAAGCAAATATTCATGCCATTTTTCTTTATACAAGTATTTCCAGTAAAAACAAAATAAAGAAGGAATGAAGGCATGTTCCTGTTAGTCCAATTAATCAGTCAGATAGTATGCACTTCTTGGTAAGGAATGAATCCCCTATATGTTAGCTTTGTAGTATTGTGACAAAGTATCACACACAATCAACTTACAAAGGGAAAAATTTCATTTGGCTCCCAGGTTTGGAGGGTCCAATTAAGTGTCAGTCTGCCCCATTGCTGAGGGCCTATGGTGAGGGAAAGACAGCATGCAGTGCCTAGGGGGTAGAAGGCACCAGGGGTCCCACAATCCCCTTCAAGGGTACACCCCAATCACATCCCCCTTGCCTCACTTCTCAAAGGTTCTGCAGCCTCCCCCATAGGGCCACCCAGGAACTGTCTTCAATAACTGGGACTTTGAGTGACATTCACCCAAACTTCAGCAAGTAAATACTCAAACCCAAATACCTGCCCCAGGTCTGTGTGGCAATTTATAAGTACAAGGAATAAGAACATGCTAAATAATGCTGTAGCAACTGACCTCACCCAGGTGAGAAATCCACAGGACCGATGGCCTAGTTTGCTCAGGAAATAGAGAATCAGGGAGGGAGAACAGAGTCACGTTAAAAACAGACTCATGACTGCTTGTGAGCATGGAGTTTCTTTGGGGGAGTGACAATAATAGCCTAAAATCACAATGGTGGTAGTTGTGCCATTTGGTAAGTACACTAAAACAATATTCTCTAAATAGGAGAATTATGTGGTATGTGAATTATAGCTCCAAAAGAGTCTTTACTGGTGAAGCATCTGAGATTTGCTTCAGAATGTAGTTGCTGTGGTGCATTGGTTGGTATGAGTTGGTGGTTTTGAACATGGGATAAGCTAGAGCTCATTAGACTTTAGATAGAGAATAGGATTGATTGGTGCTTTTTAGAGATGCCTCCCCTGGGGTCTGACTCAGTGCTATTGTAGGGTACTGGCTCTATCTACAGAAGCCCCATCTCTCCAGACCCTTCTCTTCAGGAACAGCCCAGACCTGTGGCTAAGTGTGTTAATCCAGGCTTAGTGTTGTCCCTACCAATGTAGACCTACCTGTAACCTTGAGCCCTTGGCAGTGCATTGCTGGGCAGATGCAGCTACTGGGAGAAAGACCTTCCACAAGGTCATTGCCTTGTCCGTTTTACAGAGAGTTGGAGCCCGGCATGGATGTAGCCTTCCTGGGGACCCGGGCTGGCCTCCTCAGAAGCACCTTGTTCGTGGGCTCTGAGAAACTCTCTGACAGGTGAGTCCTGCTGGACGCATTAGGGAGCAGGTCCTCTGAGAAGAGAGAACATGACACAAATCCTTGGGTGCCCTTGAGATGGTAGTACAGAGACAGTCTCAACATGCTTTGCCCTGAAAATCCATGTAGGGCAGAAGAGTGGGTTTCACAGACCCAGACAGTAAAAGAAGCAATGGCCCACTTGGCTTAGTGTGTACTGGAGGACCTAAGGTGGGCCAGCAAGAGAGGAGACTATGAGCCTGGAAGGGTAGACATTGCAGAGGCGATGGAAAGCTGAGATTGTTTCCTTCCCCGAGCCAGCCTGGACGGCAGCTATGTTTTCCAATGGTGCCCCCTCCTCTGTGGGCATTTTGTTCACCTGTAGAGGGGCTGCTCTTGGAGTCCCCCTACACACGAGGCCCAGACAGACCCACTACAGCTTATGGACAGGGTTTGGATGCAACCCCCATCACTGTGGGGCATGGGAGGCTGAGCCTCTAAGACGCTAAGGTACAAAGTTCCCACCTGCTGGGTGTTCTGCCCACCCCAATGTCTGGAGATGGTTTTGGCTATCATACTGGGAGAAATGGGGAGACAGCATCCACACAGTGGATAGTGGAATCCGGGGGTGCTGCTAAGTATCCACAGTGCTCAGGACAACACTCATCTACCAAAGAGAACCTACTGTAAGCAAAGTATTGATTGTGGGCAAACTCTGTTATAGGGCCCCCCGCCCTGCCGTCTCCTAGATCCCTCTGCAAAAAGGAGGTAGGAGCCCAGAAGAGGGCGGGGCAGCACCCACTTGCTGCCCTGAAACCCAGGATGCTCAGGCAGATGAGGCCCCAGTGACAGCTGAGCTGATGGGGGACCCAGTGCCCTCCTATTTCCTCCCCATCACTCACTGCCCCTCTAAATCCCAACACACTCAGCCACCGAGTGCCGCCTCAGAGCTTCTCCCAGGACTCTGTGGCAAACCTGGACAAGCTAAACAAGATGGAAGCTTTCTAGGAACACAAATTTAGTGGCTCTTTCCTCTCCCTTCTTCCTTCCCTCCTCTAATTTCCCCAAAGGGGGGAGAAGAACAGCACTATCCTAAAGGATGGGAAGACATGGGAACCCAGACAGGTGGCCAAGGACTCTGGGAAGCTGGGAAGACAGCTGCCTGAAAGGCCGTAGAGGTGATGCACTGCATATCCCCAAAGGACTCCCTTTACTCAGACCATATTGCAATCAGCAGCCTGGGGACTGGGCACCAGCAAGCCCTGCACTCACTCAAATCTCAGTCCTCTACCTGCGATCTTTATCCACAGGTGCCATTTAATCTCCCATCCCACCCGGCTTCGCCCACCTCCCTGTCTGTTTCTGGACCAGCCTCCCTCTGTAGGCTTGTGTGTGCTCAAGGAAAGCAAACCCATAATTAGCAAGGAAAAGCTGCTCCAAAGGAAGACGCATGTTGCACACCAAAGCCGAGACTTTCGAAGTAATGTGGGAGCAATTTATGCCTTCTTCACTGCAGTGACAGAACTGATTGGACAGTTTCCTCACTCAGATATGCCAATGAGCCAGACAAGGATAAATTAGTTATACCCAAAGGAAGGGAACTCTGTTGGCAACAAGTCTACAGATTCTTGCCGACACCAGTTCCACCTCTGCTGGCCTCCACTTGCAATCCAGTGCGCCAGCATTTTGCTTCTGGCAAAGGCAGGGATTCCCTGGAGCAATGCCAATTTAGGGACTGATATTTTCTTTTCCTTCTTTTTTATTTGGGGAGGGGTTGAAACAAGGTCTTGGCTCGTAGCCAGCATGACCTAGAACCCACAAACTTCCTCCCTCAGCCTTGGAGTGCTGGGATCACGGCACACAGTCTCTGTCCATGGAGGCTGATGTTTGCTGTATGCAACTCAGACAGCACTGAAGAGAGTCAGGCTCTTGGCCCGGCCAGGATGATCATGTATGGCAAAGGGAAAAGGGGTATACACGTTCCCAGATTTGAGGAGGTACCAATCTTGCTCTTGCAGGAAGTTCCAGACACCTGAAGATGAAGCCAATATTTTCACCATGGACCACTTTCCCCTGTGGTACTGCCAGGCCTCTGAGCAACCTCCTGGCAGCTTTGTCTTCAACCTCCGCTGGGCAGAAGGACCAGGTAACCTACAGGGCTCCCTCCCTGCCTTCCCTCCTGACATGCCTCATGCCCCATGCCATAGCCTCCACATAGAATGTAGGGCTCACGTGTTCTCATCCCCAGCCAGAATGATGCTCCAGCATGGAGCAAAGGAAAGAGATTTGACCCAAAAACCAACCAAGCTGAATTCTAGCCCAAATTCCAAATATGCGATCAGAAGGGTTAATCGCTAAGAGGCTTCTAGTTCTAAACATTGGAGCACTTTTTAAAGTTCCATAGCCACCCAGATGGAAGTCCCAGGCTTTGCCTCAGAGGGCTTACCACATCCAGTGGCTGCTGCGCCTCTTCCCAGGCAGAAAGAAAACAACTCTTGTCTCCACTTCCCTCATATTGCCCATAATAGAAGATAGTTCCTGGGCCATGAAGGATATGACCAAGCCCAGCCAGTAGATTCTCACAGGCCCAGGCCAGCAGACTAGAGGGCCACACAGTTGAGGACATCAACTCCCAGCCCTGGCCACTTCGGAAGACATGCAGGGAGGAACAGTGGGGTTCTTCACTGAGCACCAGGGAAATCAAAGAATGCTGAGAACGCATAGGGCCTGAGACTCCGTGAGTCTTTACCTCTTGGTTACCCTTGAGGAAACAGAAGCCCAGAGAGGTTGAGGGCCATATCTGGGGCCCATGGTCTAAAGAGCAACAATTATCCACCAGATTACTATTAGGAGGTTGAACCCAATCCAAAGGAGCTGGGGCTTGGACAGTACTGATGGATGGTATAGGCAGGAGATGGAGGCTGCCAGAGCAGACATCTGAGACACAACAGCAGACTCAAGTCCAACTGGAAAGAACTACCATTCCCCTTCAAGTTGCCCTTCTGAGCTGGGCATGGTAGCACACGTCTTTAATCCCTGCACTTGGGAGGCAGAGGCAGGCAGATCTCTGTGAGATTGAGGCCAGCCTGGTCTACATGGCAAGTTCCAGGCCAACTGGGGCTACAGGGAGACCCTGTCTCAAAAGGACCAAAAACAAATGAGAGAAAGAGAGGAAAAGAGACAGACAGACAGACACACAGACAGAGCAGCACTTCCAGCATACCTTCCTCAGGCCCTCCCCCACCCAATGGAGAACTGCTGTGGGGCTCCCATTCTGGGATGCAGACAGAAAAGCAGATGATGGGCTGGAGAGGCTCAGTGGTTAAGAGTAGCATTGGCTGCTCTTGTGGAGGACCCAGGTTCGATTCTCAGCACCCACATGGTGGGTAACAACCATCTGTAACTCCAGTTTCAGGGGATCTGATGCCCTCTTCTGACCTCTGCGGGCATTGCATGACACAGGTGCACTTACACACATGCAGGCAATACACTCATACACATAAAATAAAATTAAAAAATAAAAAGTAAAACCTCACTTAAAAAAGAGAGAGAGAGACAGAAAGAAAGGTGGTTCTGCTTCTGCAACCCCTGAGGCCTCCTTACTATATACCAAGCCTGTCATTTCAACCTTATGGCACTCCTTCCTATGTACCAACGACTCACATGCTTTACAAAGCATTTTCTTGCATACAACCCCATGAAATAAGTGCTGATGATGCTGTCTCTCAGTTTGCATGGGGAGACTTGAAGGCTCTAAGAGGTTCTGTGACTTGATCCAGTTTACACAACAAGGGAGCTGGTGCAAGCTAGAGCCTGGGTCTGTCTCACTGAAGTCCAGGTTATGTTGACACCCTGGTTATAAGAAGCAGAAAGAGAAAGGAAATGTTTTTATTCCCTGTAAGGTGGTTCTCAAGGCTAAGACCAAGGTCTTCCAGTGTTGCACAGGGTGGGGAGGCAGCTTCTCCTCCTACAACCAAGGGCTCCCTTAGGAGAGGCACCCACGGACTCCAGGGATGTTCCCTGGGTGAGACCTTGGGCCCCGCCCAGCCAGGGTGACAGGCTCCCTCCTGCCTGTGCTGTCACCAGGACTGCCTGCTGCCTGCTAGGGGAAGCTTTATGTGTCCACAAGGTAGGAGGGCAGGTGGGTGGGGAACTGAGCTGCCAGGAGAAGAGGGAAGCTGGCAACCCAAAAGGGGACTGCTGAGGAGGAAGGCAAGAGCTCGCTCCCTTCCCACGCCCTTGAGTACTTGTTCAGCCCGAGCACATGCTCAAAGCCACGTGGACACCTCTGAACCTGCCATCCTCCCCAAGGGAAAGCAAATAATTTTATTTTAATGGAGTGGGGGTGCTGAGGAAGCAGAGGCAGAGCGAGGAGCAGACCTCCAGGCTGGCCCTGCTGCCCTTTGGCTGGGGGCTGTTGAGCTGAACTGGCCCACAGGAGCTGCCTCTGTAGCCAGGGCTTATACCACCAGCCAACACACAGCAGTCTGCCAGTGCCAGGGCTCCAAGCTGATGACTCCCACACATACCTCACCTCTTCCTGGGCTGGTTCAGCCGGGCTCTGGGTCAGGTGGCCATTGGTCCCAGCACTCAAATTCCCATGGTCCCCAGAGGTTGACTAGGTATTTCCCACAAGCCTGCACTACAGAGCCCAAAGAATACTACAGGGGTCCCCACATTCTTGTCTTATAGATGTTTCTGGAAGTAAAGTGAGGAGGCTGGCTTCTGTGTCTACTCTGATCCCTTTGGCTTTGTTGTTGAATTTCTAGAAGCAAAGACAGCCTCAAGTTCCAAGACTCCACGTGTCATTTAGGTTTTTATGAGATGCTAAAGACAGCAAGGTGTTGGGGAAACTGTCGCAACACAGCCGATATGAAGCCATGTTTAGTCCTGTCAGCAGTGGCTCCGCTGCTACGGAGTGGCTGGTACGAAGCTGTGTTTCATGGAGTGTCCAGGAGGCTCTGAGAGCTGTGTCCAGGAGGCTCTGAGATCTGTTTGTCACAAGCAATGTTCACCACCAAGACACCTGGCAAACAGGATAGCACATGATCAAACTGTGGCCTTTTCTTGGACTCCGACCTAAAGACAAGAGGTCTTTGGAAACCCAGCGCAGGGTAGACAGAAAGAAAGAAGTCAGAGGGTCACATAGCAACTACAATCAAAAAGCTGCTTTAATGCAAAGATGAAACCACCCTCTGAATCTTGCTCCCAGGATGGCCTAGTCCTTCTAAAAGATGTAGAAAGGCAACCCAGGCCTTCAGGAATCTGGCAGAAAGTTCTAGAAGAGTAACAATGAGGCAGGTCATGTGATGGGTTGGCCACCAACAACTAGGATCCGTGAAGCCTCATGGATGTGTCAGATGCCATCCTGCCTGCTAGATGGCTCATCCATGGCAGCTCATCCATGGCATCTACTTCCTGAGTGGGACCATCACTGCCCCTCTCTGTGACTCGTAAAGGCAAGCCAGGATCCCAGCACTCAGTTCTGGAACGCCTGCAGCCTGTCCCCCAATGCAAAAAGACCTGTACTGGTTAGATTTTATTGCCAATTTGATGCAACCTAGAGTGACTTAGGAAAAGGGAACCTCAACTAAAGAATTTCGCTTTGATCAAATTGGCCTGTGGGCATACCTACGGAGTTGCTAATTAATGTAGAAGGGCCCAGACCTCTGTGGGTCATGTCACCCCTGAACAGGTGATCCTAGGCTATATAAGAAAGCTAGCTGAGCATGAGCCAAGGAGTAAGTTAGTGAGCAAGCTAGTAAGCAGCATTCCTCCATGCTTTCTGCTCTATACAGGCTCCTGAGGAGTTCCTGCCCTGACTTCCCTCAGTGATGAACTGTGACCTAGAAGTGTAAGATGAAATAAGCCCTCTCCTCTCCAAGTTACTTTTGGCTATGGTGTTTATTACAGCAACAGAAAAGCAAACTAGGCATCACCTCCTGTGGGTAAGACACACAGGAAAGGACAGGCCACAGTAGGGCCTGCAGCAGCTGCTAGAGCCCAAGCAGAGGCAGTAGGCAGACAGGTTTGCTGCCCTGGGATGGAGCAAGGACACAGTGTCTCAGTGATGTGGCTCATGTGGCTCAGGCTGGCAGAGGCCGAGGACTGATCTGACAGGTTCAGATCTGTTCAGATCAGGGGAACAGCAGGGGACTTTCAGGACGCTGCACAAAGACAGGTGGTGGACTTCAACCACCCATGACAGCAACACGACCCTCCCTCCCCACCTCTTCTATGACAGGGACAGCTCACCCCGGCATTGGTATTTGCCTCATATTCCGAGAAAAGGATAGGGCTCAGACAACCCCACCACTTCTCTTCCCCAGGCACTGAAAATGACTTGATAAACCTTACTTTCCCAGAAAGCCCAGGCAAGCCGGTGGCGGTCAGGGCAAGCACGGCAGTAACAGTGACTGTGGATGAGAAGACGGCCATTGCTGCAGGTAGGAGCTCCCCTGCGCTGCTGCACTGAGGCTAAAGCCAATATTCAGGCAAAGGCTGGTAGGCAGGGTTGGCTTAGCTAGAGTGCCTGCCTAGTAAAGAGACCTGCTCATGGTCACACAGGACAGAGCCTGCAACCCAGACCTCCATCCTCCCACTAAGACAGTGCCCTGGGCTCTAGCCCTGGGCTTATGACTCAGCACTTTCTACCTTGAACTCTGGGCAAGCAGGGAAAGCCATATTTTTGGGGCTCCATTTTACTGATGAAGAAACTGAGACACGGAGAAATGATTTGCCCAAAGTCCCATAGCTAATAATAAAGCTAGAACTTGAACTCAGACTACCTCCCTTTGGAGCCCAGAGTCACCCCTGTGCTGAGTTGGTGCCAGCTCTGGGAGGAGAGCACTCAGTGGCGCTCATAAGCTTGCCCTGACTTTGCAGTTTCTTGGTACCTAGAATGGTCCTTGCCCTCTGTGTCTTGCTGTTTGAGAGCTCCCCAGACTCTGCGATCATACCTTCCTTGCTGGATTTTGGCTGTGTTCCTCAAGAAGCCATGCAATCCATTGTCACTCAGTCCTGTGGTTCTACGAGTCAGGGTGCCAGGCACCTATCTCATAACCCCAGGGCCCTGGCCATCATGGTAGGCAGGACCCTGGCCTCTTCCCAAAGCTGTGAGCATTGATGGAGGCCCATGAGGAACAGGCCTGGCTTTCCTGCTCAGGGAGCATGGACTACGCTAAGTCAAGGCTCCTGCTGCATTTCCATATAGGTTAAGAAGTGAGGGAAGGTGGCTCAGTGACAGGTCCACCACAGCATCCCTGGTAGTCTGTAAGATGCTACTCCTCACATCCTAGCAGGTCTTCCAGTAGCCCATGGTATGTGAATCCCAGACCCACTTCCAGGCCAGATGTGCTCTCTAAAGCCCTCCCATGGTGTGGTCCCAGCAGCCCTGTGGCTACCTCACTTTTCTGGATGTGGCTTTCTTATCCCCTCCACACTGCAGGCCTGGGCAGCAGAAGAGACGGGGGACGCGGGGCCAGGCTGCTGGCTGTGCTTCCCCATACTCTCCAATTATCTGATATAATTTTTAACTCAGAGCTGAATTAGAGCCAAGAGGGGTTGCCATGGAAACCATGTCCCAGTGCCTTCAGTTGAACTCCTGCAGACAGTCTCTCTGATGCTCTGGGTACACGGCTGTGACAGGAAAAGCATGAGGTGCTGGAGACCTGACACTGCAAGTTCATTTGCATCTCATTTTGTAATTTCCTTTCTCTGGCCACTGGCACAGCCTCCCTGATGCTGGGATCAGCAGGGGCCTGTAGCTCAAGGAAGGGTAGGTGGCCTGTCCACTGTCCCTAGAAGCTGGGGTCTTCGGTATATATGCTTGCTGAAGCAGGTGTGCACAGTACCTGGTGGCAGGTGCTGTGTCAGGTGTTTGTGCACTAAGCAAAAGGAAACGGTCAGAGAAGAGACTCCACTTTGACGGCAGCTGTGCACCTGTGAGGTGTTTCTGCTCTGTGCGACCATACTTTATACAGAAGAGTAGGTTTAGAGAAGGCACAGCTCATGCAAAATTTCTAAAACCCTCACCTTCTGGTTAGGGTGCATTTTGAGTTCTCCATGGCCTCTATGCTGGGGAACACAGACAAGGATAATAAGGATCATGCAGAATGTTCCTATAGCAGCTGGGCTTTAATACGGCCTGCAGTACCAACACACCCCCAGAGGCCTTTCCTGCTGTCTGGAGCAGCTTGGGTCACTTTAGGCATCTGGAAAGTACAGGCCTGTTTTCCCTCTGCCAGTCTCTGGCAAACTGTGCCTTTGTCTTCAGTAACAGTGCACTGTGCTGTCCTGCTCCTGCAGGGTCTTAGGGAAGACCACATTTGGCTGGGCTGCAGTAGAGACCACAGGAGGGTGACCCCACTCTGACCACACCTAAGAAGGTGAGCTATCCTGGCTACAGGGACTTGTGTGCCCTAAGGGTCTGCATCTCTCTGAAGTTTGCTCCTGGCTCACTGGATTGTCATCCCAAGAAGCTCCTGAGAAGGACAGGGTTCCATCAAGCCTCTGAAGACTAATTAGTTCAGACCAGCTGGGTCAGAGACTAGTCTTGTCTTGGAGGTGACAGGCCAGCAGGGAGCCTGGCTTTTCCCTCAAGGCTGAATTAACAATCCCAGAAGCCTTACTCTCTTGCTTCTTCCCTCCCTGGTGTTCCACCCCCAGCTTTCCAGTCCTTAATTCTAGCCCTTCGCTTGCTAAGCCCTATGGAAGGCCACACTTGTAAGCCTAGATGCGGGCTACTTATGCAATCAGTCCTGAAAGTCCTAAGGTGACCCTGGCTATGTGAGGCTCCAGCAAACTCCACCGACCCCAAGTGAGGCTAATGAAACCCAGTCAGCAGAGCAGCTCTTAACTTACCTCCCCACCCTCTCCATGCAGAGTCCTCTGTGCAGACATCGACCTTACACTACATGTGTCATCATCTGCCCCAACAGCCAGATGACAGACATTGGTTAGGAACTGGATGGATGCCCCAGGACACTGAGCCTGACAGGCTCTGTTCGCCTCTGCTCCATAAGCAGCACTCTGCCCTGATGCTAACATTTGCACACTGCCAGCCTCCAGCGTGGGGAGGTTTAAAATCCCAGCCCAACCCTGCCCAGAGCTTGTCACCCTTGACCCAATCCTCTTCTTACCCAGGATGCTGCCTCTACATCCCTCCCAGAAGTGCCCTGAGGTTCTGGGCACTGGGCAGGGGGCCCATCTGTCACATAGAGCTCTGTGCATCAGGGTGATGTCCCTCCACAAATGGCTTGGCTCCCTGGAGCATCAAGAAGACAGGACATCGTTCTCCCAACACCCACGCCGCCTCCCACCCGATGAAACGAGGAAACACATAGGAAAATACAGTCTTTATTGGTCTTCTGAAACAACAAACCAGAAATATAATTTTGCCTTTAAAAATCTTCTGTCTCAAGCTAAAGATACCACCACTGACAACACTCTGCCCTCCCCCAGGCCCTTAGAAAATCCCAGATCTGGTATCATCCTACCAGCCAAAAGAGGAAGGAAGACTGGCCCAGCTGAAGGGATCCTGTGATCCTAAAAAGTGGCCTGTGCTCTGTCTGCCTGCCAGAGGATGACCTTGAAGGCTCTCCTGAGAGGCCCAGTGTATGTCCCCACTACTAGATTGGGGGGTGGAGGAGAAAGAAAAGAGCTGCCTAGCCTGTCCTGATTCCCTAGTAGACCCTGTCTCAGTGTCTGGTTGGCCTCTTCCTGGCCACCACCAAAACCCTTCTCAGAGCAAGACGTCAGCCTAGCATCTCCTGACCCTAGCTGCAAAAGGATATCAATCGCCTAAGGAGGAGGCAGCTAAGAACAGAGGACAGCAACACTGAAAAATTGCACATCCCAGGAGGCAAGAGTTTCCATCCTAGGTAGGACCGCAGCTAATCACTGGCTTAGATAGTCCAGGTGCAATTAAAAGCTCCCAGTAAGCCGGGCAGAGTTGATGATCCCCTGGGAAGGAAGCCCCATCACTGAGGGTTCTGAACAGAATGTGGTCATCCTATCCCTGTCCCTACAGTCTGCTAGGGATGTGTTGGAGGCAGCCAGCCTCAGTGAGGGCCCACTACCCAATACCTGCTTTCCCTAATGTGGGCCACCAATCCCAGAGCAAATCCCAGTCCCAGCCCTGAGGTCACAAAGAGAAGACAGAGGTGATATAAGGGGCAGGAAAAGTCAGGGGACAGAGCTCTGGCTTCAGGCTTCAGGAGTGAAACTTCCAGGTGTGCCCAGAGCCTGGCAGGAAAAAGGCACCTGGCACACCCAGTGGTCTATAACTGAGCTCTCAGAAACTTGAAGCCTGCTGTGCACACATGCACAGCTCTCTCATCCCTGGAAAAACCTAGCTAGAGAGGTGTGAGAGTTGCCATGGCAACGGGCAGTTCCTCCAGCAGCATGCTTTGGCCCACTTTGGAGGGTCTCAAAGGAGCCCTGTGTTATTGTCTGGGACTTAGCCCCTGATGACGTAGGAAGACAGTGGTCAGGAAGCAAGAGGGCCTTTGGCCTCCAGGCCGAGGGGACAGCAGGCCTCTGCTCCCAAGTTCACAGGGCATCTGTTTCCACCTGACAAGTGTAGGGAGGTATAGGTGTGACTTGATCCATGAGACTGTGCAAGTGGTACCCCATGAGAGTGAATTCATGTATAGTGTGTGACCTTGTCTCAAAAACCCCAAAGCAAAACAGAACAAGAGTGAGTTAGTGAACCCATGAGCAGTGTAGTCAGACTGATGGTATCCACCCATCAGTCACCCTGGGGTTTCTAAGTACTAGACCCAGATAACAGGGCTGCAGTGTCTTCACCCTGGCACCAGCCACTGAGAGCTAGACAAACTTCACACTGCAGGGGATTAAGAATATCTGTCTGGCTTAGAAAAGAGTCAGAAATCTACCTCTGGCCCTCGTGCTCCTCCCTCTCAGGCCCTAAATGCAGATTGAGGTGGGGATGAACAAGAGGTATGGCGAGTCACCCAGCTATGCTGGCCCAAGGCAGGAGGGCCAAAGGGGGGTGCTCAGTGCAGAAGCACTTGAATCGGTCCTTTCTTCCCTGCAATCAAAAGCCTAGAAAGAGTCCCAGGCATTTCAAAGACCAGAGGCCCAGAGAGAGGCTTCCACTAGAAACTTTGGCCCAACGTCAGCTTCTGGGAGACTTAGAAAGAGACTGAAGTGCTGCTCTGCTGGAAGGCGGAGGAGGACCCAGGAACTGGGGGAGGCAGTACCAGTGTCAAGTTGAGACAGGACCTGTGATGGAGGGAAGGACAGCCTTTTCAAGAGCTGCCCATGAGGTCTCCTTGCCGTCCTACCTGGGCCAGGCAGAGAGCTCTCAGGCCACAGAAGAAATCTGCTTCTGGTCTTCGTGCTCACCCTCGGGGTCCCCCATCAGTGGCTGGCGCTTCTTGAGCTCCCGGTGGTACTTGGCCATGAGGGAGGCATAGATGCAGCCGTAAGCCGCAGCTACTACCATCATGATGCAGACGATGCCACACACAACACCGGCGATGATCACTGTGCCGATGGCTCGCCGCACACTCACAGGCCGGTACCTCTGCTTCTGAGGGCAGGCAGTGCTGGGCTCAGGCTCAGGCTCAGCCCCAGGCTTAGGCTTAGCAGGCTCTGGGCTAGCCTTGGTGCAGGGTGGCCCTGGAGCATCCAGTCCAGCGGAGTTGTTCTCATCCTCCAGCTGAGAGCAGTAGTTAAACATCTCCATGGGGACTGCACGCATGTCCTTCCCCCTCAGTTCCTTGGGTAGGGTGCAGGCAAGCTGGTCCAGGCGTCCCCCTGCATCCCAGGGAGGAGATAGAGACACTGAGAAGGCATCTAGAACTGGGGTCCCTTCCCCTCACCCAAGACCCCCAAGAAGGTACAATTCCACCAGCAATGTAGTCGTCTTTGATTATGGAGGAGCAAGAGGATGTATGACCCAGCACCAATTGTGCCAAAGGCTATTATGGCAGATATGTGTCAGAGAGGAGGCCACCACTGCTATCAAAGCCATGGAGAATGGACATCACCATTTTTCCCATTTCACAGAGAAGCTCACAACCATCCCACTCAAGCTTGCCCCTCCAGGGTCACGCTGACTTGAAAGAGGACAACAGTTCCAACTGGAGGTCTGCCAAGGACAGGGTTCATGGTATAGAGAGTTATGTCCCTGCCCTGACTGTACTTTTTATACTTCTCTGCCCAGAACCTGTTTACTGACATCTGTGAACTCTCACCACTATTTTTAACACAGTACCTTGGTAGCCTATGCTCCCTCTACCAAAGTACAAAGCCAAAGCCACTGCCTCATCCCTCTCTTCCACACAGGACTTCGTGGCCTGAGAACACCTCGGAGCAGGGAGTGAGAAGGGACACGGTGTCTTCCTAGATTTGTCAGGTGCTCTAGCACAGAGAGGTCTGGGGAGGGAATCCTAGAGACACAGGCTGATGAGGGTGTGTGGACAGTGATGGGCACCAGGCCACCAAACCACATTGGGGAAGCCAGGCAGGGCAGAGGGAGAATATCAGTACCTAACTGGGTGAAAAAGCCAGCCGGGACTAAGGGCAATAACCTGGTCAGACATCCCCTCAGAAGTGAGAGTTGGAATTTGGCCTTCTTTCAGTTTCTAGAAACATCCAGCTACTCTATTACTGCCAGCTCTCTCTCCAAGCCCAGCTGCCTCAAATCCCCTTCCACAGCAGACATACGTCTCACCCCAGGATGCTGATGAAAACATCCTAGGATCTTTGTTGCGGGGTGGGGGGAATGCAAGATTAAAAACAAGTCTACTGGTTCAAAGGTCTGGATGTGTATTCCCATCCCATGCCCTTTTGTGCTGGGAACTGGCTCTTGTTGCTGTGCATAGGGCAGCGTTGTGTCCTAAAGCTAGCAAGGAGTATCCAGCTCTGCCTGGGTGGCTTTGGCAAGACTGAAGTCAACTGAGCATGTGTCCAAGGCCTTTGCACATGCCTTAGAATGGTAGAGAGCTCGGAGGTAAGAAGGGAGCAACTTTGTTTCCCTGTGCCGCAGACCCGAGGTTGAATCCTGGCTCTGTCAACTCCTGCAAATTATTTAACTTACTTAATTACATTAAAATCTTAGTATTCTTAGCTGCAAAATAAGCATAAGTATTTCAGTTAGCTGCTAGAGATATTAAAATAGATAGTGTGCATAAAAAGGTATTTGTAAACTGGAAACTATACAACAGCATTAATCATTATTTCTCCACTCACAAAAATGGAATTATCGTAGTGACTAACATGGTGAGGTACTTAATAGTTTGTGAAATGTTTTTAATTAATGCCTCAGAGTAGCACGGAAATATTGAGTTAGTGACTGAATAGGAAATGAAAGAAGTAAGAGTTAGGGAAAACATTAATGTTCTGTTCAGAATTTCAGCACTGATGTGTGAATTCCACAAACACTGAGGAGCTGCCTTGTGCTGGATGCCAACTTGCGTCTTACCATGTGCACTTGATTTTATGAATACCACTAACAAATAAACAAGTGAGTGAATATCTTACAGAGAACTTTCTTTATGCTGGGCACTTTGCAAAACACTTCATATGCACTGCCCTTTTTTTTTTTTATTACTCTATGTGTATGAATGCTTTACTCACATGTGTGTAAGTTTACCATGTGTATGTAATGCCTGCAGAGGCCAAAAGAGGGTGTTGGATCCCCTGGAACTGGAGTTACAGACAGTTGGTATTGGGAACTGAATCTGGGTCCTCTGGAAGAGCAGCCAGTGCTCAACCACTGAGTTATCTCTCCAGTACCCCATTTATTTATTTATTTATTTATTTATTTATTTACTTACTTATTTATTGGCAATTTATCTCATAGTTCAGGCTGGCCTTGAACTTCTGATCCTCCTGCTTCTACCTCCCAAGTACTAGGATTATAATTGTGTGCCTGGCTAAGTATTCATTTGAGCAATTCATTTGGTCATTACAGAACTTTTCGAGGTTAAAGAAAGGGAGAAGGGCTGGGTATGGTGGCACATGTCTTTAATCCCAGCACTTCAGGGGCAAAAGCAAGCAGATCTCTGTGAGATCAAGGTCAGCCAGGTCTACATAGCAAGTTCCAGGCCAGCTGGGGCTATAAAGAGACCCTGTCTCAAAAAACCAAAAAGGAAAAAGGGAACCAGACATGGCATCTCAGCTTTGTAGTTCCAACATTCACGAGACCAAGAAAGGAGAATCACATAGTTTGGAGTCAGCCTGGGTTTCATAGTGACTTCTAGGCCAACCTAGACTAAGAGTGAGACCCTGCCTTAAACAACAACAACAACAACAGCAACAACAAAATAGGGCTGGCAAGATGACTCAATGGGTAAAGTCACTTGCCAGATGGTTTTAGTTTTCATTTCTTTTCCTTCCTTCCTTCCTTCCTTCCATCCATCCATCCATCCATCCATCCATCCATCCATCCATCCATCTGTTGTATGTTTGCTTGGTTGGTTGATTGGTTTTGATTTTCTGAGACAGAGTCTCATGTATAGTCCTTGCTGGCCTGGAAATTGCTATGTAGACCATACTGGCCTCAAATTTAGAGATCTTCCTGCTTTTGCCTCCTGAGTATTGGGATTAAAGGCATGTGCCCCCACACCCAGCTTTTTTCAAGATTTTTTTTTTAGGGGCTAGAGAGATGGCTCAATGATTAAGAGCACAGGCTATTCTCCAGAGGACCTGTGTTCTGTTCCTAGCATCCACATTGGTGGCCAATACCCACCAGTAACTCCAGTTTGTGTGTGTGTGTGTGTGTGTGTGTGTGTACACATGTGTGCCTGTGGAGGTCAGAGGCTGACATTAAGCATCTTTCTCAGTCTCTTTTCCACCTTATTTTTGGGAACAGGGTCTCACTGAACCTAGAACTCATCAATTCAGCTAGACTGGCTGGCCAACAAGCCCAGAGAACACCCCCAACCCCCGTCTCTGCCTCCCAGCAATGGGATTACAGATGCTCACTGCTGAGCCCAGCTTTTTAACATAGGTGCTAGGGATCTAAACTCAGCAAACACTACCAACTGATCCATTTCCCCAACCCTTCCCTTCTTTCCCTCCTTCCTTTTAAAAAAAAATACTTTCTTTATGTACTTATTATATGTGTTTATGTATATGTGGAGGCATACACATGCCACATCATACATATGGAAGGCAGAGGACAACTCTGAGAAGTTGGTAGGAGTGAGGCATGTTACTCTTTCTCCTAACCTTATCTCAGCCACCCCTACAGAGCAGTGGGGCTCACCTCGGTAGGAGAACCACTCCATCCAGTGCTTGAACTCTCGCAGGTTACAGTCACACTCCCAGGGGTTATCCCCAACCTGCAGCAGCTGCAGGCTAGCCAGGGGCTCAAATGTCAGCCGGTCCAGGTTCTGCAGGCGGTTGGAGCGAAGTGACAGGGAACGCAGAGCTGGGAGCCCATCAAAAAGCCCTGGGGGCAGCTGGGCCAGGCCATTGATAGACAAGTCCAGGTGGCGGAGCCTTGGGGAGTGCTGCAGCAGGTCCCTGTCCAGGGTCCTGATGCTATTGTTTCGCAGCTGCAGCTCTGTCAGATTCACCAGGTCCTCGAAAATGGAGCGGGGTAGTTGGTCCAGGAAGTTGTTGGACAGGTCCAGCCGCTGCAGGCTGGACAGGTTGGTGAACGCCCAGCTTGGCAGGGCACTTAGTTTATTGTTAAGCAGCAAAAGGCTTTGGGTGGCAGCGGGCACATCTGGGGGCACAGAAGTGAGGCCTAGGCCGCTGCAGTCCACCTCTAGGCTGCGGCTGTCACATGTGCAGGAGAAAGGGCAGGCAGGGAGCACTTCCACAGCACACAGGGTGATCCAGCAGGTGATCCCTAGGGAGGAGACAGGGGAGAAGCAAACAGGCTTGGAGACACTATCCCTCCTTCTGGGTCCACACCCTGGTGGCCTCTTGGTTTCATCTTTGTCACAAGCTACAATCAGTGCATGAGTGTTTATTGACCACACAGCAAGGTAATTAGGAGACCTGAAGAACACATTCATGTTAAAGGATATCACTGTGACAAAGAAGTCATTTTGGTGGGGCAGCCCAGAGGACAAGTCGTGCAGGTCCTCAGTGACACCCCTGCTCATGGGCCTCCAAAATTGAGCTCCTCAGACCTTGGACCCCCTAACACTCCAAATGCTGGCAAAATGAAGGATTTGAGGATGTCAGAATAACTCTTTCCAAAAAACAGTGGCACATGGCTGTGTCCTTCCCCTGGGTCCCTGCCTCTACCTGGAGCCATATTGATACTGAGATGTGCCGCACATGGAAATGGGAGCCCTAAATGTCCCCTACAGCTTCCTAAGTGCTATGCCATTTACCTGAATCCTGTGTGTAAGATGGGACCCACACCTAGCTAGGACCCATACCAGAGCACTATGAGAATGTCAGAGTAAGCCACACGGGCGCCTCCAACACCAGGAGTCTGGCCAGGACTGGCTCCACCTTTGTATGCACTCTGAAGCCTACAGGCTCATCTAGCCTTGGAGCCAGCCAGCATTTTTGGAGCAAGTAAAAGGTGATCCTACCGTGACTCATGTTTTGCCCAAGACCCCTCTGAGTAGCATATGTGGGTTCAATCTGCAGACAGGGGTGGGAAGTGAGCCCCAGAGAACAAAAGGGACAACAGCCTTTTCTGACAGTGGCCCTGTAGCCAGACCAACTGCCAAGTACCAGAGAAGCCTGGTCACTGGGAAAGGGGAAGAATGAGCTCCCCCAGTTTCATCCATCCCAAGTCAGAGGAAGGACTCCAGCTGAAGACCGGGCGAGGGTCAAAGCTACAGCCAGCTGCCCCACTTGGATGGCCAGCAGCCAACCCAACAGAGCACCTAGATGAAAGAGTCTTGAGTCTGTCTGGTGGGCATCTGGTCATCTGAGGTCCCAGAGGATGACACTCTCCCTGGCCCTTCTTGTGGGATCAATGACAGCTGACACCTGAGCCACCTTGTTCTTGATAGAAAATGAGCACAGCTTAGCCATTAAAGCCACCTGGAGACCTCTCCTTGCTACCTGAAGCCACCTGCTGTGACCTCTCAACTCTCCGAACCCATTTATTGATGGGTCAACCTGCCCTGTACAACACACTCACATACATACACGCGCATACACATTCACACACACACGCATACACACATTTACACATACATGCACACATGCTCACCCACATGCATGAGCACATGCACACATGCACATGTATGCACACATATACATACATGCACATGCACACACTATCTGAACAGCAAGATCCTTCTTATTTTACTTTGGAGGAGAAGCCACATGGTGCACACACCTGTATTTAGTACTCAGGAGGCTGAGGCAAAGGATCACAAGTTTGAGGCCAGCCTGAGCTACATAGTGAGAGAGAGAGAGAGAGAGAGAGAGAGAGAGAGAGAGAGAGGAAGAAAAAAGCAAAGGAGGGGAAGGGGCAGAGGTAGAGGAAGAGAAGAGGGAAGTTGGGAAATAATTGAAGGAAGGGAAGAGAAAATGGGAGGGGAGGGAAGAATGGAGGGGAAGGAGGGGAAGGGAAGATGAAGGGAGGAGAGCAGAGGGGAGGAGAGGAGAGGGACTCAGGACATCAGCACCCTGGGAAGGATGCTGTGCAGCAAGCACCACACTGCACACCCCTTCTGGAGAAGGCACTGCCAGTTGGACAAGGAGAGAGCAACTCCTCTCCACTCCCCCACCCCACAAATTCAGAAGGCAGCAAAGCTCTAGTAACAAGAAAACATAATCCCGTATTGAGAGGTGTCAGAGTGATCCTGGAATGAAAGGGATCTGACTCCTTGGATCAGCCATTCGCCTGGTGAATAAATAATTCAGGCTGCTTGCCGCAAGGGCAACTGGACCATAGGCCAGGGGAGGTCAGGCAGAGCAATGTCCCCTAGGGCCATTTCTTGCCTCTGATTATGTAGCCTTGGGCAAACTAGCCAGGGCTGACCTTGTCCCTTTGAAGGGAATTTTCAGGAACAAAGGCTGCTATCACTAACATCTATATCTCCGTGTGCTCCTGTGCAGAGGAAGGAGCAGATCCAGTCCCTAAGGCTCCTTCTTCCACTGCTATACCCCAAGAGCCCACTCGCGCCTCTCCAGAGCTGGGAAGACTTGAGGCATACAGAGCCCGTTGTGGCCTCTAGGTTCAGATAGTTGGCTGAGGCCAAGGTAGAAGGCAGCTCCCCTTATAGTCCAGGCTCAGCCTGACTTCCGCCCCTGCTGACACATGCTGTACACACCAAAGATCCCAGTTAAAGGTCAGGAAGCCAGACCACTCTTGAGCAAAGCTCTTCGCTTGTTACTGTCAGGAGATGCAGAGCATGGGACAGAGCCAGGGCCTCCTTCTCCAAGCCTGACCATGAAAGCCCTCTGCATCAGCTCTATCTTTGCTTAACATGGGCATGAGCCTAGGCCTCCAGAGCAAGACCCTGGGCATCAAAGAAGGTCAAGTGTCAAGCTCCATCCCTGTCAGATATGCCCCACACCCACATGCCCCCATGCTGGGATACTCACAGGAGACCTGCCTCCACTGCAGGGCAAGCTTGCTCCTTTGCTGGGGGCCACTGCCTGGTGCCAGCATGGTGAACCCCACACTCCCTGCAGCTCTGGGGAGAGAGAGCCCCTCAGCATGTACCACCTGTCAGTCCTGAGAAAGAGAGAGAGAGAGAGAGAGAACACCAGCTGGGTGGAGGTGGACACTTGGAGCCTGTTCCAGCCCAGGGGTTAGGGACAAGGCCCGCGTGTCTCATACTCTTCATTCCTTCTCCTGTTGCTCAGCTATGATGTCCTGGGAGGGTACAGGGTGGAGCAGGGGGTAAAGAAGAGGATCAGGGGAACATGTCTGCCTCTTGGGAGGATGGAGGGCACAGGAACTGCCAGCCAAACTGCCGCTCCATCCCTGATTCCCTTCCCCAATCTTTCTCTGACTCCCCTTGGGGCCTCTCTGCACTGGTGGGCTCTCAAAAGGATTTCAGCGCAATATGGACTCCTCCATGTGGGCACTGCCACATCACAGGTGGGAAAATCAAAGCATGTCTCTCCTGGTAAACAAGTGAGGCCCCAGATCCCACTTGTGCCTCTTGCTTCTCCACCCAGACGCACCAGTCTCCCTCTGCTTACCATAGCCCTGGGGAGGCCGGGTCCTTCTGTTCGTGGTGCCTAACGACAAGTAGGGTATGAGTTTCTGGGCGGCCCCCTGCTTTCGATCCCACTGTCACCTTGAGGTGAATGATAATGCTTGGTCTTCTGCCAGCTCTAGAACAGCTTCAGCTCAGGGATTCATGCTCCGCAGCTGCTGGCCTGGGAGAGACTGAGACGTGGAGGACAATACGAGATGGCAGAAGACTGGAAGCAGGCCAAGTATAGGCAGCAGGTTACTCTTCCATGGGACAAATGGGCTACTTACCCTTTCTAGAACCTGCCCAACCCAGTCCCCCCAAAGGAGACCTGAGCCTCTTTAGCATCCCACCTCCCTCCAGACATGGCCAGGAAATAAGAGATGGGAAGCCAGAGCTTGCACCCTGTCAGCTCCATCAGGACAGGTGACACCCCTGTAGGGCACAGGGGGCAGTGGGGACCAGGATCGGGTCAGATCAGGAAGACTGCGGTATACCCCAACTCCCTCATGGCACTGTTCTCTGGACATACTCATCCCTAGCTGGCTCCAAGTTTGGCCTTCCTTGACTGCTAAGTTCACGGTCTTTGAGTAATTCCAGCTGTAGCCCTCATAGTCCAGTTTAGTCCTCAGAGCCATAGCAGAGTAGAATTGACAGAGGAGGTAGATGGAGCTGCCAGGATGCTCTACCATTCAGCTCAGAAGCCTGAGTAGCCTGGGCAGGTTTCCCTCAGGTATTTGGGAATACTTGCATTACCTCTCCCTATCTTAACTCCATTTTCTATCCACTAGTCCCACCCTAGTGTCTTTAGGAGGCCATCAAGGTGGACTGTGCTTCTGTGGCCTATGTGGCAGCCCCTCAGGATAATCTGTTCTGCTCCCAACAAGGCACCTTGCTCAGGAATGCAGTTCCCATCTGCCAGCCCTGACTTCATCTCCCCCCACCACCACCACCACTTCCCAGTTGGGAGGCAGCAGCTTGTGAAGAATCCAGCAGGGGCTGCCATAACTCAGCACAGCTAGGGGCTAAGGGTAGTGGCCTATCCCTTACTGCCATGTGGGTGGATGGACCTTGGAACTCAGTGGTTAGAATGGCTTGGTCCCTGTTTGCTAACTGCTGTCTTGACTCAGATTCACAGGCAGAGTCTCGGGGTTCAAAACCCTGTCTGCCCTCTCCTTCCAACACGCTGCTTAAACTCTCTGGGCCCCAGCTTTCCAACTCTAAAAGTGACAATCTGATACTCAGTGGGTGGAAACTAAGTTAGCATATGTGAAGTATGCATCACGTGGGGAATTTAGGCAAAGGTTCCCACCTGCCCTGGAGTCCATGATGGGTATGAGGCACAGGGTCTCCTTCCCCATTTCAAGAGATCAAGTTCACAGCACCTGAACTGGCCCCAGGCTGTGGACTGTCACAAGTGTTCACTGCATGGCATTCTCACCGTATTCAGTGTGTTTCTGCTCCTCATACACAATGCCTTGACAGGCCTTCCATCACAGACATCAGCATCCACTGTCACCTTGTCCCTCCATCCCTCACTCAGAACATCAATCACATCATAGGTCACAGTACCTGGAAAATAGTAGGCAAGTCACAGCTGCCCGGAGACAGGGACATGACCAGTTTGCCACAAGTACATGGTAAGTCAGGATGGGCTCCAGGCTTCTGAGTCAGGGTGCTCACCCACTCCCTGCTGTCAGCCTGAAGGGGCTCCGGTGGGCAGAGACACAGGCTTGAAGCACTGTATGCAGCACAGTGAGGTAGGCACATACAGACATCTGTGCAATAGGCACGTCCTAACATGTGCATACACACATACATTCCCCATACAAATACCCACAGAGCTGTGCAGCTCGGCATCTGCTAGCATACACACGTATGCATGGCATGCCCACACATGTATACATGCCTTGTGGGCAGCATTCCAACTCTTCTCAGATGTGAGGAGGGTGCCTCACAATTCTAGGATACCCCCAGCGGGGAGGCTCAGTAACACTTCCAGCCTGGAAGGAAGATTTGTTGTGAGTCCCACGGGGCAGCTGCAAAGCCAGGCTAATTTTTCTGCTCAGTTGAGCTGGAAGCCCAGGCCAGCTTCTGCTCCTGTTCCTCTGCCCTCTCACAGGGGGACAGGCTGTGGAAAAGCCCCGTCAGGTTGACCTCCACCCGAGACTCTAAGAAGGTTCTTCTTTCCACTCCACCCCTTCACTGCCACTCTACCTGGGAGCCCAGGAGCCACAAGCAAATGACAAAGACCCAGGATGTTTTCTGGTGAGGTGGCAGAAATGATCCTAGTGACTGGTATCCTCTGGAGGAAAGGGGCTTCAAGTCCAGGACTCCCTCTAAATAGCTGACCTGCCTCTACTAGCCTGTGGCTTCAAAACAGATTTTTGTGCCTTCCTGACCCTTAGGGCCATGCGAGGGAGGGACACTTCCTAGCCTCTCTGCCTCATGCCCACCCCTCTCTGCCACATGCCCACCCACACACCTCCCAGCAAAAGAGCCTTCTTCCCCCAGAACAGAAGAGCCTCCTTGGGAAAGGGGTGACCTATATTGGGAACCAAAGGACAGCTAATGCAGCAGGAACTGACCAACTGCTGGAATAAATTAACACTGTGAGGGGAACGGGAGCCAGAAGAGAGTTGGGGGTCCTTCCCCAGGCTCAAAGCTCATGGGATTCTGGATGCAGGATCAGCTCTGAAAGCTCATCTGAGTTTTGTCCCAGCCCCAGAGACAGAGACCAAAAGGGTGAAGCTGGGCCCAGCAGGGTCCCTGGCCTCCTCTGAGCTTCTGGTTGGATAACGGGGCTGATGTGAACTAGAAGTAGAAACCTGGGAACTCCCAAACCAGAAACATAGGGTTTTCACTCTGATCTCTTGTTTCTAAATGTTCAAAGGCCAGTAGGATCAGTAGAGCCTGGGAGCCTTTTAGAAATCTTGAATTTCAAGTCCCACTGGACTAAGTCAGAATCACCAGGTGACAGGGTTGCCCAGGGACATACTCAGGTTTGAGGTATAGGTTAGCCCCCCACCCCAGCTAGGGCCTGACAGCCACCCAAGGGGCTATGCTGGTCCATCTCTAAGCTAGGCAGCTAAGGGATCGCATGGGCTGTGAGCCTGGAGGAACTAGGACAGAAAGTGGCAGATCCAAAAAAAAGTAAGCCAGAGACTCATCCTAATACTAACCCTAATCTTGCCTGAGGCGGGGCAGGGGTACCAACTTGAGGGCCTCCTGGAAGCCTTTATGTGGGTAGACAAGGGCCATAGTCAAGGAACTGTACAGCATTCTTAGCACTCACTCATACAGTGCAATGAGGTTAGGGTTATTATCAACATCATAGGGAAACTGAGGCAAGGAAAATTAAGTGGCTTACCTAAGCTTAGGCAAATAGAAGATGAAGATTGGGCCTGAGATACCCAGCCACAAAGCTGCCGACTCAGCTGTCCTCATAAGCTCCTGCCTTGGTCCCACACCTCAGGGAAAAGCAAAATCAGAAACAGGGACATATAGCCCCCATTCAGACAGAACTTTACAGTTTACATGGCATCTCCCCATCACTATTTCACTGAAGCTGAGTAGGTAACCATTTGAGTCCCATCACAGGCTTTGCAATACTGGACTGAGAGAAAGGCAGACCATCCCTCCCAGCTGGGAGCTTAGGGTGTTGTGGGCAGGGAGTGAGGGGTTGGGGCAGGGCAGGTGCAGAGGTTCCATGCGCTCTTTCCAGCCAACGGCTGCTGCACCCACTGGAGATGGGGCGTGGGAGCTGCTTCCCCTGAACACTCATCTGCCCCCTCCCCCAGCTTGGAGAAGCCTGCCAGGCTCGCTCTGCAGAACACCAAGGTTAGGATAGCAGGGTGCACCTGCCCTCCAATTTCTCCTACAGATAGAGGCCAACCCACCCCATGACGTGGGTGCACACTCTGCTAGAAACCTCCAAAAACCTCACCCCAGGCCTAGGGTTCACACCTTCCTCTCACCCCTTTCTCATCACCCCTCAAATCAAGTGTTCTCAACATGGAGCCAGTAGTGCCTTCAGCCTTCTGACTCCTGGGCCAATTGCTGTGCACATCCTCCCAGGTATCTCCCATTGGTCAAGGCTTCTGTATACCTTCAGCACCACAGACCCACAGAAGCGGGAGCAGAAAGGCCTGCACACTCTACTCCACCACCTTCATTCTACAGGAAGGCTCAGGTTAGTGAGAGGCAGAGACAGAACAGTGAGCCTACAAGGGCGGTGTCCAACTATCCCACCCCAGAGGGCTCCAGGGAGCCTGGACATCTGGTCTGAGCAATCAGAATTCCACGTGGCCCAGAACAAAGGAGACTAGTGTCCCCTGGGGCTGCTGCCACCTGTCTGGCCATGGAGCCCTTGCAGGAGACACCCAAGGTCTGTCCCCTACCCATCACCCCCAAGCACACACACCATGCTCAGGGAAACCACTTCTAAAACCATTTCTAGATATGTGCTTGGAACAGTCATGGCTGTCGCCTCCAGGTTTCTTTCAGTGCACCTGTTCTCCCTCACTTCAGACTCTTGCACCACATTTCCTTGTCAAACTCACCCTGTCCCTGAAAGAATCCCTAAGAGGCAGAGCAGGAAGATCCTGGAGTCACCCAACACACACAGGAGCTGTTCTGTGAAGTGAAGGGGCCCAAGAGACCTTTAAAGCCCAGGTGGGGCCATTCATTGCCTCCCTGGGCAGGAACCAAGAGTGAACCCTGGCTCATCCCCACTATCTCCAGCATTGTACCCACACCTCTCTTGTGCCCTTCCTTACCACCCATCTGACCAAAACAGCTGAGCCTGGCCCAGGGTCTTGGCACCCAAGAAATGAGAATAGGGTCCACTTATCTGGAACACCAGACACAGCCTCTAGCTAAACGTGAAAGAACACAGCTGTGGGGCTTAAGAAGCCAACCTCTTTCCCTGCCCTGCCTGCTGCCTGGCTTTCCTGGTCTCCCTCTTCTGGCAGAGCCAAGGCCCTCCTGCAGTGAGGAGGTGGGGGTGGGAGCACTGGGCTCTTCTTGGCAGCCTAGAAGCTGATGTTGGATTTCCCTACCAGCTGGACTCCCCCCCCCTTGCCACATGCTGGTTCCTTCCCCTCCCCCACACCTGCTGTAGTTATCTAAGCTGTGGGCCTGTCAATCTGAGTCACACAAGGCAATGCCCAACAAGCCCTGGCAGCCTGGTGCCAACATCCCCACCACCACCCTGGAATGCAGGCTGCTGGGGGTGGGAGGCAGAGCAGCCAATCAGAGCCAGCCCCAGACCTGCCGACCATACAGGAATTTGAACTGCAGATTCCTGGGCAGAATCCTGCATTATGAAATGGGCCTGGGGATCCTCAGAGCCAAGGACCTCCTCAGAGTTGGGTGTCCATGCCTCTGAGAGTCAGGCAGCCAAGTGGATGTGGCCTGGCTGCACACTGCCCCGAGTGTCCAGTGCCCCTCAGGCATCTGGTCCACCTGCTGCAAAGACTGGTGTGCAGTTGTGGCCACCTGAGCTCTTCACATTCCTGGCTCCCTTGCCTGGTCCTTGAATGTATAAAAGCAAGACTAGGGTTTGCAAGGAGAGCTACTAGACTCCCCTCCTTCATTCCCAGCCACACCCCCACCAGGGAGGCCCCACAAGGACCTGTTTCAACTAGGAAGGGCTGCTTTGCACCCTTGTCCAAGGACAGCCACCCGAAGGCCAGGGAGCCCACCCAGGGCAACCTTCGCAAAGGGCTAGGCCCTGCCTATTCCCACACCTTACTCAGTGGGACCTCCACCCCAAACCCCCGACTGCAGGCCTCCCTGTATGCTAGCCTGTCTCCAGCACCCAAGCTGCCCACCCCCTCCCCTGGCTGCTGCTCCCAGTGTTGCAGGGACGGGTTTCTATGCCACCCGGGGCCATCATCTGGCACCAGCACTGCTCTCCTCCCCGTCCCCCCACCCACCTCCCTAGCAGAATACACAGCTATGTCCCCAGTACGGTGGGGTCAGAGTTTCTAATGCTATGTACCTTTGGGTTGCCCAGGTGTCTGGTCCTGAGTGACTTCCCCCGCCCCAGTAACTGCCCTGGGAAGGAAGTGCCTGCTGATTATGCAGGGTCAGGTGGCCCAGCATAGATGGTCCCCAGTTCCCATACCCCAGCCATCCCTTCTTTTGAGGCAGCCCTATTCTTTCCCAGCAGCCGCTCACAACTCACCTTTCTGCAATGGGACCTGATGCTTAGACCATGGAGCTGGACATGGGCACCTTGGCAGGAAGACACCGGACGCGGAGTCGGGGTCAGGAGAAGTGGGAGCCAGCGCAGCCCCTGGAAGGAGGCGGACCCTCGGGCTGCGCTGCCGCTGCCGGGGAGGGGGCTGCGGGGTCAGCGACAAACTGAAGGGAAAGGAGGGCGGGAGGAAGACAGACTGAAGAGGGGGAGAGGCAGAGGGAGCGGAGCGCGCGTGCTCACCAGCGAGCAAGCGGAGGGAGGAGAGAGCGCAGTGGAGTGACTGCTGGGGCGCATCTGCGATGGCAGCCTCTCGGGCGCGCGCACAGGACCCGGGGCGCTCTCATTGCAGCGGTGAGAGTGTCAGTGTCGGCGGGTGAGTGGATGCTGCCCCAGACCAGAAGGGCAGCTGAGTACCTCCCCTTACCTCCCAGCAGTCCCTCACTCTGTTTCTGTCCCTTCTATTTGGGGAAAGAGGGGCAGGATCCAAACTACAGCATCTAGAACTGACTTGGTTCCCAGGCCTTCTGGGACACTGAATCTGTCTCCTGTGTCAGAGCCCAGCAGGGAGAAGGAAGAACACACTTCTTACAGGCTAACTCCTCCTGAAAGACAGGCCCTAGAGTCCCCAGCAACAGAGGGCCCTCAGAGAGGGTCCTGGGGCTTCAATGTGTGACCACTCCAAGCCAGGACTATTTAGGGGAGCAGGGCTGCCAGGATGGGCAGCTGCAGACTTGGGGACGAGTTGCTCAACAAGTACAGACCCCAAGCTTCAGTGTCCAGGAGGAGCCCTGAAGGAGCTGGTTCATTCTTCTTTGGGATAGATCAGACATGTGAAGGGGAAAGATGGCAATCTGAGAAGGCAAAGGCATCTCCTAATCAACATAAAGCTGTCCAGCAAATCGATATTCCTTTGGATGGAAAGTGGCCCATCTGAACCCAGAAGAGTGCAGGCCTTCCCAGCTTGGAGCATGTACCTCCATTCCTTGGCACTCTGAAAATCTTCCTGATCAGCAGAGAGTCTAGCTTGTGGCCAGGGGTATGTGTCCCAGTGTCCTTCCTCCATGTCAGAGAACCCCTTGATTCAGGACAGGACTCTGCTATACTATGGACCTGAGCAGCAGAGGCAGGACTGCTATCCAAGAGGGCTGAGGGATATTGGCCAACTACTCTGAAGTTCCCTGCACCCTGCCCCTCCTACAAGGGAAGCTGCCACTGCCCTAACACTCCCACCACCTGTCTCAGGAAGCAGGTCCTTCTCAAGCCTGATACTCTCTGCCCACAGTGATCCACCTCCTCCTTAAAAACTCAACTCCAGGCTGGTGAGATGGCTCAGCAGAGAAGAGTACTTGCTACCAAGCCTGATGCCCCGAGTTCAATTACCAGAAGCCACACAGTAGAAGGAGAGAGCAGGCTCCCAACGGTTGTCATCAGGACACACACACACACACACACACACACACACACACACACAAGTAAATATAAAAAATAAATAACCCGAATGTCCCCTCAGCTGTGAAGTGTCCCTGGCTACTGCATGGGTCTTAGTTTCTCCAAGGCATTTTCTCGGGGCCACCTTTGTGATTCTCATCACGGAGAAAATGTTATGGTGACTTTCAGTGGCATCTTTTCTATGTTATGAGCTGTTTGAGAAGAGGTAACTGACCTTACCTCTCCCTGTACCCACAGCCCTAGGCCCTCTTGTGAGTTAAGTCTACACTTTTGCTTTTCACATAGGTACTAGCTAAGTGATTAATTGGGCAATCCAGAGACTTGCCATGTTCTTGCCCTGTAGAATAAGCAAATGGGTTGAGCTCTATGTCACCTCCAGTCCTGACAGCCCATGGCCTGGGAACTCACTGAGCAACGATCTGCTAATGCTGCAGAAATCAGGGCCCTCCTACACCACAGTCTTTGTCCAATAAACCCAACACTTGGCTGGGATGCAGGCCAAGGAGGAGCAACACAGGTACAAAGGCAGCAGAGAAAAGATGGAACTCTGGACCGTCAAGGTCACGCCCCCCCCTCCCCCAGCGAAGCTCAGTGCATAAGCATGTGTCTGTGCATGTGGTACATGTGAGTGGTTGTTTTGTTTTGCCATCCCTGATGACAGATCAGCACTGAGGTAACAGGATTTAGAGCAACTGTGTACCTCTTGTTGAGCCTCCAACTGCCTGTGGTCTTACTGAAGTTAGGCTGTCTATGAGCCCAGCTGAGGGGAATCTTAAAACAATGGGGTCTTAGAGGAAGGCACCAGGTCCCTCTAGAGAGACTAGCAGGAGGGGAAATGCAAGATGCAGCCCAAGGCAGGAAGGGCAGGGGAAAGGGAAGGCTCCAGGTGGGCTAGGGTAGGTAGAAAGGTCTGAGATTCATCCTTCCTCTTCCAGGCTATAGCAGGTCCCCTGAAAACCAAGTTCAAGGTCTAAAACAGGGTCCAATTAGACTCAAGCATGAGGGAAGTTCTCTTAAAAACCCCAGGGAAGCTACTCAGGACGCCCTCCCTTCCCTGGCTCCTTGGCCTGTTTCCTTTTGCCAAGAGTTCTGAGCAGATGTAGCCACACAACAGGCGGCAGGAGTTGACTCAGGAAAGTGGTCCTCCTCCCAAGTGACTGTTCCAGAGAGACTGTCCCCAAGAGCCTACAGATCTCTAGAGTCCATTACCCCAGCAGAACAGGGATACTGAGCCTCAAGACTGAGCTCTGTCTGTGAACAGGATGTGAAAGGTTTAAAGCCCAGGGGTATGAGCCTGGGGCAGGGCCAATCCATTTCTGAAGATGCCTCTGCACTCCTGCTCCCTTCCCACCTCTGTACCAAGTCCTGTTTTCAGCATCTTGCCATTCTTACTAGGAGGAATGTCTGCTTTGTTTCTCACTTTATCCTGGTTTCCTGGTGACAGGAAAGGTGGCAGGTCAGCATGGGTGAGTAATTGGGGGGGGGGGGGTCCATAGAGGAGAGAGGAGTCTGGGAAGGCTGAACTTAGCAGGCAGGGAAGTGAGGTCAGACATGATCTTGCCTCCCAGTCAAGTGGCTGACACAAATTGATTTTATTTACTTAGCCCACAAGACATTTATTGAACCCATTATATGATAGTATTGCTCTAAGAATCAGAACTTGATCCCTTTGCTCCATGGGGTGAGACATCAGCTAGATAAACAAGTCATGTGACTTAGAAAATAAAGTTAGCAATAGGTTAGAGAGCAAACAAGGAGAGCTGCTTTATCTGGGGAGGTCAAGTAAGTCTTTGCCAGCAGATGAGGTTTGAGCTCAGATCTGATGATGCTGGCAGCCAACCATGTAGACTTCTAGAACATTCCAGGAAGAGACAAGAGCTGATGAAAATGCCCTGGAGTAGTAACGTGCTGATCATGTTTGAGGAAGAACATGATTCAGGCTGAAATCAAACACACCAGCAAGGCTAGCTCACATAAGTTTTCAGGGCTCTAAATTTTATTCTAAATGGGAAAGGGGGATGGGTGTCAAGCAAAGAAGTGGTAGGATTTGCCTTTCCGAGGGATCACACTTGTGGCCATGTGGAGAATGGATCACAGAAAGGTCAGAATGAGATGAGAAGATGGGACCCTCACAAAGGTCCTTTGCAGGGGAGATGAGGTATGCACAGACTGGACCATGATGGTCGCAGGGGAGATGATGTATGATGTACAGACTTATGGGGTACCTGAAGCCTGTGTGTACTGATAGAAGCGACAGCTATGGGCAAAGAACTTGTCTTGAAGTGCAGACATGGCAAGGAGGGCCAGGCTTCAGGTAGAAAGCCAGGGTCTACTTCTGAACAAGTGGAAATGCTGGTGGTGACACAGACATAATGGCTCAGCAGGCTGCCAGGACATCCCAAATTCTGCAAAGGATAGACAGCTGGCCTTGGAGTTCTGGTGGTGGAACCTGATTGGGAAGATTCTGTTCTTTGCCTCAGCCCCGCCCCCCATTTCTATCCAGGTGGCCTTGAAATCTGACTTTCACTGAAACAGAATCAAACCCCACCTTCTCCAGACTTCCCATGTTAGAATCCCACAGAGCCTCCTCCAGCTTGGAAATTACATGGTTCCATAAGACTTACACTGAGCAACAGAAGAGAGAAGCAGACTCCCATTCTAGGAACAGTCTGGGTTTTTTTGACCACTAAGGCCAACGATGGAGCCAAATAAGCTTTCTTAAGTCCCAAGAGGTTGAGCATCCTCCACATCAGCACCACTGCCCTCTGACAGTACTTGGAAGTCCTCCTTTATCTAGTCTACCTACAGGTGAAAGAAATCCATGTGCTTTGAATACCTAGGGTAATCTTGAATGGAAAAGAGAGGAGGCTACCTTCAGCCTCAGAGAAAAAACTGAGGGACAGTAGGAGGATACCTGTGCTGAGACACAGCACGTGGTCACCTGAGATAACATGCCACATCGTGTCTCTCATGAATCTGCCTAGTCCCATCCCATCCTCCATTTTCAGCCACCTGGACTTTGAAGCAACAAAGAGCCCAGCTGTCCCCATCACAAGGCAAAGAGGCTCCTCAGCCATGCCTCAGAATGGCCTGGGGCTGTGAGGGAGGGAAGTGGCCTTCTTGGTCCTCCAGTTTTTCATCTGCAAACTCAGATTATCTCCATGATTACATTGTCTAGTGTAACAGACACCATCTAAATGTGACTACCTACATTTACATTAGTTAAAATTAAGTAATACTAAAAATCCAGGCCCTCATCTTATCAGCCATGTTATCAGGTCTCCAGCAGCCACAAGTGATTCATAGCTATAGTCTGGACAGCACAGGTGTGGGACATCCCCATCCTAGAAAACCCTGCCACACAGGGAAGTTTGGGGACAGAGCCTCCCAGGAGCTGCAGCGACAGCATCACCTATTACAGAAATTCCGGTTCCATGGGGAGCTGGAGAGATGACTCAGTGGTTAAGAGCACTGGCTGCTCATGCAGAGGACCCAAGTTCAGTTCCCAGCACCCACATGGTGGCTAACAACCATCTGTAATTCCAGTTCCAGGGGATCTTATGCCCTCTTCTGACCTTTGTGGGCATTGCTCACACAGGTGCACTTACATACATGCAGACAAAACACTCATACACATAAAATTAAATAAATATTTTTTAAAAGAAATGTAGGTTCCCAGGTTCAGTCTTTCTCCTGCATGAGAAATTCTTGAGTTTCAGCTACCTTCCAGAAGACTCTGATGCAGCCAACTAAAGCCCTAGACTCCAGTCTAGAACACTGGACTAGCACATTCTGTGCCCTGAGCCTCAACACTGCTGGACTCAACCAGGCCCAGTGGTTCAGACTTGGAATCACAGCTATTCAAGAGGCTGAGGCAGAAGCATCACAAGTTCAAGTCTAGCCCAGGAAACTTAGCAAAACCCTGTCTCAAAACAAAAAACACAGAAAAGGGTGGGGATGCAGCTTAGTGTCAAGAGCAATTGCAATTTGCTGCCAGAGCAAAGCAGATCTAAAGACTGTGGCCCTGGAGAAGTCAGTGCTACGACTATACTGCCTGGAACTCTGTTGGCATACCTATTCCCTAACTCCCTTCCCCATCAAGTCTTTCCAGGGTCATACCAGACTGAAGAAAGAAATGATGCAGTTCAAAACCCCTGTGCCATACTAGGATTCCAGTGCACCATGGAAGAGCCACCAGGCACTTGGAATCAGAATGGCATGGGGTTTCTTTAGAATTTCTTAGGCTGGGGCTGGAGAGAAATGGTTCAGTGGTTAAGAGCACTGGCTGCTCTTCCAGAAGACCTGGGTTCAGTTCCTAGCACCTACATGGCAGCTAACAACCATCTATAACGCCAATTCCAGGGAATCCAACACCTTCATCTGGCTTCCGTGGGCATTGCAGGATATGAGTGCACTTACACACATGCAAGCAAAACACTCATATACATAAAATAAACATAAATTTTTAAAAATGAATTTCTTAGGCAGATGGCATAATAATTGAATGGAACCTGTGGTCAGTGTATATGAGAAGCCTGTCCACATGCAGTAGGCCATTTCTGCTTGCCAGGTACAGAGGGCAGAGCTCAGCGCTGTGCTTGTTACTTCCTGGCTGGCAAGTCAGCCGAGTCATTTTGTTTCCTCAGTTCATGAAGTCTGAATGAGGCTAGTGCCAGTCTGTGGAGGATGAAACAGCCTCGTGCCTAACTCACCCAACATGTCTTTAATATTATTCCAGACGCTAAGAAGTTGGCCTACTTTTGAGAGTCTCTTTCTGTTTAGCATAGCCTGCCTTTTCTTTCTTTGGCCCCAAGTTCTCCTGGAGCTCTTTGTCCCAGATTTCTCTTAGTATGTGACTGCCCCCTTGGGTTCTCCAGGCCTTTTTGGAAATCAAAGAGATAAGTGGCCCTTGTGAGAGGAGACATCAAAAGGAAAGCATTTGTGCCTGATGGTCTTCCTGGTCTCCAGGAAATGGCCTGCAAATTTGGGGGTGGTCTGGCTTGACCTTCAGCAACTCAGGCTTTCTTCCTGTGTGGAGAAGGCCCTGTGCAGGAACTAGGCATACAGAGGTTGCCACACCAAGACTGAGATCCATGAAGCCTGCAAGTTGCCCAACTCAGTTTGCCATTTTGGGTCCTGTGATCTTATACAAATGGCACACTCTCCAGCCTCTTTTTCCACTTGAGTCAAGGGTATGCCTTGAACTCCCAAGGACCTAAGAAGGACTCCCTCCTCATGCTTCTCTGGCCTCAGAGCTTTGTTTCTCTGGCATCTCTTGGTACTGCTTTTCCCATAGGGAAAGTCAGCTGACCTGGATTCCCTTTTGCCAGCCTCCCACTCCCAAGGGCCCTGGACGCCCACTGACCCAGCCCAGACTCCATTGCGCCTGCCTGCCCATGCCTCTCTCCTCAGTTCCTGCTAGCAACCCTCCTCTCTTTGATGGGATTCTATTTTCTTGTCTCACTGACCCCTCCCCAAACATTTGCCTGGCTTTGCCCTCCCTGCAGCTGTGGGCATCCAGATGCAAGTGGACTACCTCCAGCACCAGTTCTGGGCAGCCATGCAGCAGGTAGGAGCCTCGGGATAGGTTAAAGGACTCAATAAGTCATCCATACAAGGAGGGCCTACCTCCCCACAGCCTGGTCCTTCAGCCCCTTAGGAGACTTCTGTTTCCACCTACTCTGAGCCTCTCAGGTTCCCTGTGCCCTGCATGTTATGTCTCCTCCCCCTTCCCACCCCAGTGTTCTGTTCTGATTAGACCTAGGGCAAAAGGTAAGACAGGGCCATTGTCATTGCCCCAAAGCCACCCCAGCCTTGCCTGCTGCAGGGACAGTGAAACCTCACAGGGATTCTTCCTAAGCCCAGACCCTGACTGCTGTCCAGGCTCCTAAGAACTTAGCCTTGCCCCATCCATCCATTCCCCTGCCCCCTTCCCAGGGGCCTTCACTGTTCTCTGCACATCCTTCTAGTAAGAGTCTCCCCACAATGAAAAGCCTCCTCCACTCATTCACTGCAGATGGCTGGGCCCTTCCTTGAGCACATCAGGGAGTCAAAGAGTGAGATGGAAGGGACACAGAAGTGAAAGGGATTCCTGACCCTAGGCCATTCACTCCATCTCTGGAGGTGTCTGGCGAAGCTGCTGACCCTCTTCCCCCAAAGCATGTTGGTGGTCCTTGCTGCCTGATCCAGGCTCCTCAGAAGAGCCTGGCCTCTCTGCACAGCTGGCTGTCAGCCAGGCCTGCTGCTCAGTACCCTGCCTGCTGGGACACACCCCATATGTGCGTACACACCTGCCACACAGCGTGCCTTCACCCATCCACCACCGGCAGATTCCCCCCATAATATCAACACTCCACAAATACATGCACACTGTGTATATACAGACACACATACATGCACACATGCCACAGACAGACCCTCCATATATATGGCACCATCCAGGGGCTGGAGAGATGGCTCAGCAATTAAGAGTACTTGATTGCTGTTGCAGAGGACCCGGGTTCAATTCCCAGCATCTATATGGTGGCTAACAATCATCCGTAACTCCAGTTCCAGGGGATCCAACACCCTCTTCTGGCCTCTGTGGGCTTTGCATGACATGGGTGCACTTATATAAATGCAGTCAATACACTCATACACACAAAAATAAAAATATTGTTTTAAAGACACAGTCCACATGTGCCAACATACAACATACGCAGCACACATTGTACATATGCAGATATACACATGCCTCATACACCATGTATACCCCACATAATATATGTTGAAACGCTCCACATATACACTACCTATAAACCTTCTACTTATAGCTCATACACACTGTATACCCACAGATACATTCCTCACACATAAACAGTAGTCATAGTACATACACAAGTACACTATAAGCGCATGCACACACTCACACATACACATACATGTATGCACTTGCACACACATGGGCATACACCATTCATAGTTTACTCTCTTCCTTCCAGTGCTATACGGTGGAGAGTCCATGCCCAAAGAGCTGTGAGGACACTGTAAGTACTTCCCACACAAGGAGGGCACAGGTGGGAGGTATGGCTGTAGCCTACTTTCCTTCAGGGACTGCTTCCTTCTTCCTCACATGCCTCCTTCCCTTCCCTGAGTCCTGGTCCTAGCCCTCCCCAACTGTCAGGGCAAGCAGGAGGGTTGGGCCAGCAGCAGCCCTGGCTATGACCTCCCATCCTGGCCTCTTCCCCAGAATCTGGACTGCTTCGTCATAGACAATAATGGCTTCATTCTTATCTCAGAGAGGTCCCAAGAGGTAAGTTATCGGGCAATAGAACTGGAGAGAGGGGGCAGGAAGAAGGAAAGATCTCCAGCAGTTACATCAGCCAGGGGACAAAAAGCTGGGCCCTTTAATCCCACTTTGGAGCAAATTCAGGCAGAAGACCTAAAGAAAAGGAGTTTCTACAACAGAAGTCAACAGAGCAAGATTACAAAGGTGAAACACTGTTCCAACGCAGTGGTAAAGGAACTACTGCTCCCTTAAGTCATAACTAAGCTGACTCCCCTGTGGTTGGGAGAACGTGCCACATTGAGGTCAGTAAGAACACTGCTCAGAGGCCCTGTCTACAGTGCACCCATGTCTCAGGTCCAACATCCATAAGGGGCCTTTGAGCCCCAAACTCGCCCTGCTGCCTGCATCTTGCTCTCCTCTATCCCTCCTTCCACCCTCACTCTACTATCATGGGATCCAGGAGGGGACTGTCTCCCACCCCGTATTCCTCTTGTTTCTGGGCCTCCTTGTGGAAAAACTCTACTCTCTCTTCCATGCCTGAGCCTCAGTAGGGTAACAGAGAGACAAAAGAGGAAACACGATGGTAATTTTATATCCGCTAAGCCACATACCAGACCCTAAAATTAGCCAGGAATTATGCTTAAAAAGAACTTTGTTCAAACCTGAATATATATCTACCTGAGCCAGTTCCTTGAAACAACCCAAGGCGCTGCACGGCCTCCCAGAGGGACTTCCTCAGAAGGTATGTGTTCAGTTTAGCAAGTAGCTTCCAAGATCTGTGCCTCAGCTGAGTCACCTGATGTCAGGGTTTATGTCAAGCAGGAGGCTCCAGGTGCCTGGTTGTTGGCAGAGTTGCAGGGTGGAAGCTCGTGCTGACCAAAGTCATGGCCAAGGTAGTCTCTACCCTGCACCAAAGTCATGGTGTGACCTTCACCCAAGTGGGCCTGAGGGTCTATGGAAATTGTCAGAACATGGCAGAAAGCAGAGCCAGGGCATCAGGAGACTGAGCACAGATGGCAGTTATACAATAAGGATTACCAAAGGACATGGGACCTGGTTCCCTAGGGACAGGTTTTAAAACGTTTTATTTTATTTTTATGGTATGTGTATAAATATTTTACCTACATGTATGTAAGTGCACCACACATGTAACTCCAGTTCTAGGGAATCTGATGCCCTCTTCTGGCCTCCAAAGGCATTATACACATGTGGTGTACTTACATACATGCAGGCAAAACACCCATTCACAAAAAATAAAAATAAAGAAGTAAAAATGTTTAAAGATTTATGTTTTACGTAAAATACAGTTTTATTTTCTATTTTAAGTGGTTATTTACATTATGTGCCTCCATTTTTTAAAGTGTTATATTATCCTTTTATATTGTACATAGGCTTAGAAGCTGCTCCAAATCCTTTCTAAAATTAAGTATAAATGACATTAGCTTCCAGAAGCTCTGCCAGAGCTCCAAGAACAATGCCCCCCCCCCATATACACACAGCTCTCCCTGCTCTAGAAAAAAACCTGGTGATGAGGGAGGGTGTGGGATCTGGTGGACTTGAGCATGTAGGACTGGCTGGTGAGCTCAGGAGATCAGCCTTGTCTAGATGGGTGGGCTACAGGTCCCCATCCGGGCCTGGTGGTCATTCTGAGCCTTCAATACCCTGCCCAGGTTGCTCTGTCACTACTCGGAGGAGAGTTCACTAGCTTTGCTGCACTTGACTGGGTCTCATGGAATTAGTGCCAATCCCACAGTTCTCTGAAAGCCAAGAGCCAGGAGTTCTAACCCCTGGATTAGCTCAAGGACTTATGTAAAGGCTCTGGGGCTGCGGCACCTTGACACACCCACACCCATGAGACAGGCAAGTTAGCCCAGTACAGGGGCAACTGTCCAGCAGCAGGAATCTGCTCAGTTCCGAGTTCTTTCCTGCCCAAGCCATCCACTGGGCAGACCTCACAGGACCTCCCCTCCATCTCAAACTCATCACAGACTAAACACAAGCATCCCCTGGCCTTTGGATCTGCCAGGACTCCCTCGGCCTATAGATTAGACTGTCACTACGTGTGGATAATCCCTGGTAGCAGTGTGGGGGTAGGAGGAGTTGGAGGATGACAGCTGTGTTCCTGGTGCAGGGTGCAGCCACACATTAAGCTGGGTCCTGAAATGACGAGAGACCCAAAATACACATGAGGACCTTCACTATACAGGTCCAGAAATTTGATCTAAAGCATTAATTCAATTAGGTAAAAGCCAAACATAACTATATCCTTTAGTAACTATATGCCTGTTACAGTGGCTTAAGTAAATCACAGGTTGATGCTTTCACAAAAGAGTAGATCAAGGCTTAGCATGGCTTCCTGAAGGACCAGGGGTCCCCACCCTCAAGACACAGCACAGCTAGGGGAACTCCTGCCTTCTAGCCTACTTCCCAAAGTAGAGGGCCACACTGGGGTTGGGGCACCTCTAATACTCCTCCACCCTTTAAGCAATTTCCCAGAAGTCTTTTTGTTCCTAGGTTCTGCTCATAGTTCATTGGCTAGCCTTCAATATAAGAATTTCTGGGAAATGTAGTCTTTTCATGGATCACATTGTTAACCAGTTATTCAAGCTGCCTTACTAGAGGGACAGTGGGCCTTTCCTGCTGAGTGGCATATTCTAGGAAAGACAGTTTTGTTTGCAGAGGAAGATACCTTTTTGTAGTGCCCAGGATATGCTCTCTAACTGTCAGAGACCTCCCTCACTCCTCAGAAGTAGACATTTAAACAACAGGGCTGATGGTGGTGAATAAACCTAGACTTAGGGGAGAGACTGAGACTGGTTTACAGGAATCTGGGCCACCTTACCTGGTTTATACACCCCAATTTCCTGACCTAGGAATAGAGTTAGGTGCTAGGGCATAGAGGTAATTCTTCAGGATCTTGCTACCTGGTGATAGATGAACAGTGCATATAGTCACTGGACTAGCAAACAGCAACCCAACTGAGAGGGACCATTCAAGCTGCAGGGGTTAGAGAGAACTCCAGGTGGCTTGGAGGGTCCTATTGGGCACAGTTACAGTTACCTCCAGATACTGACTGGTTAGATCACAAAGGGACGGGTAGAGGGTCCTGTTTTACTTTTGGGAGAAATAACAAAGAATGTAACCAAACTCAAACAGTTTGAGATTATTTTGGTAAAAAGCCTGAGGGCAGAGAAAGGGATACATGAAGAGGCAGGGCTGCCCAGAGAGGGCTGGAGCCACAGAAGTGAAGGATAGGTACACAGAATGCAGAGGGGAGGGAGGGGACATGGAGGGCGGATGGCAGGACTCCCACCCTCCTGCGCTGGATGAAGAGGCCAATGTAGGAGAGGCCCACTGCACTGATACTTCCAGGCAGAACCTGCCTGGAGAAATGCTTTTGACCCCCCTCCACACTATCCACCCCCCACACCCCTGCACAAGCACATTCAACAAACCATGCCCACAAGCACTGCTCCCTCTTGCAAAAGCCTTGGCTCATGTGGATTGTACTGAGGAATTCTGTACCACTTTTCAGCACCCCCTACGCTGCCTTCCTAGCCAACTACAGGTGACGGCATGCAGGTTTAGAAAGCGATGCAATGGGCCATTTGGGGAAGGAGCAGGCTGCAGGTGAGAGGAGACAATTCCATGAAAAGACATCAGGGAAAGCCTGGGGCAGCTCTGGCTCTCTCCCTCTCACAGATGGGAAGATTTCTGGGGGAAGTGGATGGTGCTGTCATGATGCAGCTTCTCAGCACGGGGGTGTTCAGCCGGTAAGTGGGACTCACCTCACCCCAGTTTACAGGCAGCTCTCAGAGTCTGACCTCAGAAGCCCCCAGAGAGCCCCCGAGAAGCCTTTCTGGAGTCAGACGGAATACAAGCTGAAGCTGTATGGATATCCCCAGACCTATACTGAACACCCAGAGGAGAGATACAGGGCCCAAACTGTAGGAGTGCTGTTTAGACAGGGTCTCCCTGTAGCTCCAGCTGGCCTGGAACTCACTATGTAGACCAGGCTGGCCTTGAACTCACAGAGATCCACCTGCCTCTGCCTCCCGAGTGCTGTGATTAAAGGCAGGCACCACCACACCTGGCTTTGGTTCATTTTCTTAAAGCCATCCCCAGTGTAGGAGTGCCATTTTAGCCTGAGTCGGTTTCTGGCTCTGGATCCCTCATGGGTCCCAGCCAGCACAAGTCCCGTTGCCATCCCCCTGCCCCAAGTCAGAGCAGGAAGTGGTCTTGGCTTCCCCACACCTTGCTTGTGCATTTCAGAGTGACCATGTATGACTACCAGGCCATGTGCAAACTGCCAGATCATCACCACAGTGCAGCCCAGGCCCTGATCAGTGTGAGTGTCACTCGAGGCCTTCCTGCTCTGTCCTCCAGGGAGTCACCTGGTCCCATTCTCATCCAGCCTCAGGCCTGGCTCAGACCACTCTTACCTCTGTGCCCAATGCTCCCCTTCCCCTAAGTCTGTGGGTCTTGTCCAGGAGGTGTGGGGCTGGTAAGACGATGGGGCCTCAGGCAGTAGGAACACACAGTTCTGCCCTCACCTCCCAGCCTGCCAAGAGATCCTTGGGGGTCCTCAGCACTGGCCCACCAGAGAAATGATCAGACTCCTGGAAGGGCTTGTCAAACCTTGCGTGTGGGGTATCTAACCTACAGAAGGCCATTGAGATACCTCTGTTCTGGGGCTCCTTCTGCAGGGACAGGCAGGTCCAGTCTGGAGGGTGGCTGCTGAGGGGGCCCCTGGTGCTGGCCTGAAGTAGCTCTGCTCTCCTCCAGCCTCTCTCTGCCTTCTCCATGGTGGCTAGATGGCTACTACATGAGCTCCTGCTGTGAGTGGGGGTTAGATGGGACAGCTCCCTGGGGGTGGGAATGGATCGTGGGTGGTGGTCTGAGGAGGGGAGGGATCCCTGCACCTGGGAACTGGATCATGAAGCGGAGTTCAAAAAGAAGGCTTGCTGTAAGTGAAGCTTGGATAAAGAGGGGAAGGGGTGCCCCAGGTAAAGAGTACTCCCTATGGTTGAGGACTGGATCATGGTTAGGGGTAGAAGACAGGAGAGGACTCCCTGAAGGTGGAGAGTGAATCATGAAGACACCATTAAGAGAGGCTGCCTGAGGCCTCCACAGCCTTGCTCCCTAGCCCCAGGGAGGAGAGAGTTATGTTCCTCCTCCCTACACACACTGTCTCATGGCCTCCTGCAGGAAGAGAGAGTCCAGGAGAGAGGGTTGGATGGAATGGCAGCCACTGGGAGCTCTGGGTCCCTTCAGAGACCCAGGTGTGGTGCACATATCCGCTCCCAAGACTAGGTTCTGCATCTTGCAGGTTCCTGCTGGAGTGGAGTGCCTGGGGTTCTTGGCATGACAAAGTGTCTGAGGGTGAGTGCTAGGGGGCAGTGTGGACAGCATTGTGGTCAGCTCATTGGAAAGCTTTTGCCTGGGGTGAGTGACAGTGGGATGGGTGCTGAGGCCTTTGCTGTTCATAATCTCATCTCATCACCTTCCCCTCACTCCGGGCTCCCTTACCTCTGTATGTGACATCACATCACTTCTGGACACCTTCGCTCCATGTGACATCATCACTGCCCTATGACATCCTGCCCTCGTGTGACGCTATGCCCTTCCCGTGCCATGTCCACCCTGTGTTGGGCTCATGCCCTGGGCAGCCAAGACAGTCTTCCATCACTGTAAGTAGTTCCCAGCTTAGAGATCCTAGCTGGCCCCGGTACACTGGGATTTTACAAAGGGTTGCCTTCAAGTCTATCCTTAAAGCACAAGCAGGGTTGAGTTCTCTTCATTCTAAGACACTCCTTACTTGGGGGAAGAGAGGAGGAAACTCAGAAGTCATCCCACAAGCACAGTCCTGCTGTGGGGAACACCAGAAACACTGCTATCTTCTCTGATGAGAAGTTCCCAGAATGAAAGGGAGGTGTGGTGCATCGTAGAGATAAATAGTCACCAGGTCACCCAAGAGAAGAAAAATGGTACCTCCCCCAGGTATCTGCCAGCCTCATCAGGGCTCCAGGTATGAGGGAGTGTCCTCCAGGATGACATTCCTCCCATGGTCTTGTGCCTGAGGACAGAGTCACCCAAAGGTGGTGACATGGTGAGAAGGCCCTGACACAAAGCAAAGTTGAAAAGGCTTTGTCTCAGTTGCCTGTGATACTTGACCCCAATATGGGAAAGGGACGATACCTGATCCTTATAAGCCAAGAGATACAGATGCACCCCTGGTCCTGGGGATGTGGAGCTTCCAGGGATGGCCATGTGGGGGCTGGCTTTAGGCCATCCTGCTCAACTTGTCCACGACAACAGAACTTTCCCTTTGGGCTTCCAGTGGCCAAGAGGCTCCTCACTCCCTCCCATTGCTTTCTTTTGGCTTCCTTATATAAACAATGCCCTGACCACCCCCTCAGCCTCCTCCACCATTCTAGACTGTGGTGGGAAGTCACCCACAGCAGTTGTCATAGGACCCGTTCGGGGCAATGACAAGTCATGTATTCTAGTCTGCTCACTCATCACTGGCCTAGAGGATGTTCCTTCCACCTGCCTGTTCAAAGCTCCACTTGTTCAGGGCAGCCTGGAGACTGGCTATGTGACCTTAAGAGAAGCTACCTGGTCCTATCACCGGTGGCTATGACAGGTGTTATCACTAGGATGACCTCTCCTACCACAGTGGCTCAGGTGACAGAGAGCTAGCCCAGCCCCGGAATCTGCTCTCTGAGAGGAGAGGAGGCAATCCTGAGGCTTCTGATCCTGAGGCCTGGTGCAAGGGCCACCCAGTAGACCCAAGTAAGACAGCACAAACAGGAATGGAAGGCAGCTGAGCTGTAGGTGCTTTTCCCATCATGAGGATTGTTTAGCCTGCATACTGGCCCCTCCTCTTGACTTCGAGGTCTGCAAAGAAAGTTTCTAGGTCCAGGAATTGAGGAGACCTTTGGCTCTCCCACTCCCTCCTTGTGTGGCCTTGCCAAAGCAACACTGTACCTGCACTTTCATTTCCAGGTGTTTAAAAGGGGGTGTTGCTGCCTGCCCTGGCTGTTTTGCTGCTGGGCTGAGAAACAGTAGCACTGGGCTGCTTTGAAACAGCACTGAATAGTGCCCACAGGCCCAAGAGGCTAGGTCTGTTCTTAGATCTCTGGGACCCTGGCAGGAGCAGACAGCTGCTCAGGAGTAAGGCCTCCGTACTCTGCCTTTTGCTGAGTCCTAATCATTGTATCCCCTGCCCTTGTAGCAAGCTAATGAGTCTCGCCCTTGAGGATACTTCCTAAGGCCCTTGGGATGCTATAGTACCCTTCCTCACACACATACCTCTGTCAACCACAGCCCACAAGCACAAGAAGCAGGACCTGCTACACCCTTGTGACACTGAGTACCCAGTATTTGTGCACCAGACAGCCATCCAGGAAACCAATGGGATCATCAAGTGTGGAGCCTGCCAGAAGTAAGTCCCCGGGGTTAGCCAAGGAGTGCAGTTTCTAGCCCCTGGCACCCACAGGGAGGTCTCCATAGGAAAGGAGGGTAGGGTGATACCTTTAGGAAAAGGTTACCCCTCCTTGTCTCCCTACTTTCTTAAGTGTAGGCCAAAAAAGGGGCTTGGCATGGGCTGCATTAGGAAACATGGGAACCGAACCCAGGTCCTCTGCAAGAGCAGACAGTGCTCTTAATTGCTAGGCCATCTCTCCAACCCCCACATATGTGTTTATATGTGTGATGTACATCTGTGCTGTGTAACATTGCTCATCCCACAGGAAATGCTTGGTGACACTTGTCACTGCTGTGCAACACCAGGCCTAGTATATAAAGGCTTTTTCCTACGTCCCCACCACCAACACAGAAAGCTGTGTGTAGGAGCCCCATGCCACCTTGTGGCCAAGTCTGAAACTGCAAATTCCTTTCCAAAAGCAAAGGTAATAACTGTTTGCTGGGAACAATCTTTGTGCCAAATGTCCCTTTACATATTTACATTTTTCATCCTCTTTGGTCTACTGGGGAAGGAAGAATGCCATTGTGAAGGCTTGTGTAAAGACGTCAACAGTACTGGGCTAATCTGCCCTTGCCTGCTTTCTGTCCCCTATGCCACACAAGCATCCGGAAGTTCCCCCCTAGAGCCCCCTCTCCTGGGACAGCATGCCAGCTGCAGATTCCTCTCTCTCTCTCTCTCTCTCCCTCCCTCCCGTTTTCTGTCTCTGTCTCTATCTCTGTCCGTCTCTCTCTCTCTGTTTCCTCCCTCTCGCCTCTCTCTCTCTCTCTCTCCTCCCGTCAAGTGCTGTTTTCTCTGTCTCTGTCTGTCTCTCTCTTTCTCTGTCTCTCTCTCTGTTTGCTCCCTCCTCTCTCTCTCTCTCTCTCTCTCTCTCCTGCAGGGCATTTGTGATGCAACAGATTCCCAGCAGCAACCTGCTCTTCCTAGTGACAGACCACACCTGTGACTGCAGCATGTTCTCTCCTGTCCTTCAGGAGGCTACAGAGGTCAAATATATCCTTTTCATCTTCCAGGGGTAAGGGGCTGACTGCAGATATCATGGAGGGATTCTGATTTGGGTGCAGAGTCCATCCTTTCTTACCCTCCATCCTTCCTTAGAGCACCATGGTTTATTCCCCAGCCCCTTCTGGGGCTCGGGTGCTGCCCCCTGACCCTGTAACTGTTTGCAAGGCAACTGGTCTTACCAGGGGCCAGTTCTTCTAGATCTTGATCTCTGTAGGATCTCCAGAAACATGAAGAGTTGTGACCTTGACAGTGAGTTCTGCACATAATGCCTCTGTCAAATGTGACAGGATGCGCTCCCAGAAGCCCAGGCGGCGACCCAACTCCTGCCACGCCTTCCATCCAGAGGTGCGGGCTGTATGAACTGATGGGCTTGGTCTTCATCCCCCAGTTCTCCCTGTCATGTGTGTGTCCTTTTGCAACATGGGTATTTTTGGACACTGATGACACAACTGTACATGCTCATGTTACTGGCAAACACTTGCATTCACATTCATGTGGTATTGATATGGTGATGGAAGATACTAGATTTTGCCAGGTCTGTAATCTCAGTGCTCAGCAGACAGGCAAGTGAAGGAGAGTTCCAGGTCAGCCTGGGCTACACAATGAGACCCTATCTTAAGGAAGAAAAGAAAAATGGGAGGGAAGGAAAAGAGGGACTGGAACAAAGGGAGGGAGACAGAGAGGAAGGAAGAAGGGCAGGAAGGGGAGGGAGGGCAGAAGAGGGAAGGGAAGGAAGAAAAATGTATTGGTGTTTGTCCTGGCTCCTGGTAGTGTCAGATCCTATGTAATATGGGTGATGGGAGAATCTTTTGTTGTATTTGATCTTAGTCCCTGGTTCCTGACCCAAGTTCTTCAAAGCTCCTTGGAATGATAAGGGTTAGTACGTTAATTACTGAGGAGCAGAGCTAGGTGGCTTCAGGATGGGGGCTGTCACTAGAAAGGCCTCCCCAGGCTTGGACTTTCTGCCCTAAGTCCCAGCCTGAGGAGGCCTTTCTAGTGACTTTCTGCCCCAAGTCCCTTCTGAGGCAGGGAGTAGCTGGAGATGGAGTTTATCACTTTGGCTAGTGACTGATTTCATCCATCATACTCACGTAACATCCATAAAACCCCTAAGCTCAGCTGGAGAGATGGCCCAACAGGTAAAGGCACTTACCACCAAGCCTGACCACACGGTACAAGTAGAGAACTGACTCCAGAAAATTGTCCTCAGACCCCAGCACATAGGCTGTGGCACATACTCCCACCCATGTACACATGCGTGCACACACAAGATAAATGTGATTTAAAAAAACAAAAACCCTAAGCCGGATTCAGGCACTTTAGGGTTGGTAAGTCATCTGTCTGAGAGGGTGGCATATCTGCAGAGATGGTGGCTCTGAGCAATCACCTCTTCCACTGGGCAGCTCTTGGTATAAGTGAACCTCCCCAAGTTCCCTGAAGTCTAAGAAAGGGGTCACAGGACCCTTGATGTATGGCCAGTCTGTCCCTTAAGGGAGGTCCAGGACTAGTAATCTGGGTACAGAACAGTCTGAAAGACTAAGCCCTTCAGCCTATAGATCTCCAGGCAACAAGTGTCAGAACTGGACTGTAGGTACCCAGTTGGTGTTGGAATTCCCCCCACAAACATATCGAGGAAAAGAAACCAACCAAGATCCAAGAGCTGTATTTCCTAGGGTTTGGGGCCCAGGTGAATTAAATTCCCCATACTGCCCTCATTCTTGATACCTTACTCTACTGATCATTATGTGGCTAGTGTCATAGTGACTGGTGTGTATTAAGCACCTGAGCACCCTACCTACTGCAGACTCTGCTGGATGTGGCTGCCATAGAAAATCTCCCCTATAAATGGTCTGGAGGTGAGGGCTGCCCCCTACCACGTGAGAGGAAGGTCCCACAGCCACACTAAGCAGTCTCTACTGTCCCATAAAAGCTCTAAGGTAGATGGTTTCCTCCCCTTTCTGGAATGTCCCTGTCTCCCCAAGCTCTTGGCTTTGTCAGTCGTCCGGCCACCCTGTCCATGCTGGCCGTTGGGCTGGGAGGGTGACCCCAGTCCTAATGCCACCCTCCACCTCTCTCTGGCTTCACAGGAGAATGCCCAAGACTGTGGTGGTACTTCAGACACTGCAGCCTGGCTCCCCCTGCTCCTGCTGCCGCTGGTGGCCTGGCTGCCTCCAACCCAGCTTCTGTGGTGACCCCATCCTGTCTGACCGTCACAGAAGGGGATCCTTACAGAGACATTCTAAAGTCACCAGCTCACAGCAGTAGGGTAACTTCTAGGCTTTTCTCAGACTACCAATCCCTGCCTCTTGGAGATTGCTGGAAGGATCAAGAAACCAACAATGTCCCAAGCACTGCTACCTCAAGGCTCCCCAAGGTGCCTGGTACCATCCACCCCAAGTCTTCTACTTCTCTATCCTTTTCAAGAATCCAGCAAGAGCACAAGTGGAGTAGGACAAAAATGTTTAGATGCACCCATTCACCAGATCAGAATCCACCAGTTTGGGGTCAGCTGTTTCTCTGACTGATCTGCTGCATATCTGGAGACTTCTGAGGACTGGGATGGTACAGAATAAGGCCATGCAGAGGAAGCTGGGCAAGAGCCACAAATACAAAGGTCCTTAGGAAGGCACCTCCATGCACTACAGAGAGGGCAAGGGAGGACAGAGGGACAGCGACAGGGAGAGAGGAGAGACAGGAAAACAAAGAATAGGCATTAATCCTTTGGGGAACTATCAATTAGGCTACTAAAGAACTTCCAAACTTCAGAGATGGCTCAGTGGTTAAGAGCACTGGCTGCTCTTGCAGAGGACCTGGGTTCAATTTCCAGCACCCACATGGTGGCTAACAACTGTCTGTAACTCCAGTTCCAGGAGATCCCACACCCTCTTTTGACCTCTGCAGGCACTGCACATCGTAGGTGCACTTACATCCACGCAGGTGATACACTCATACACATAAAATAAAAAAATATTTTAAAAGAATTTCCAAATTTCTTTTTTAACAAAACCCTAACTTAAACTTTACTTCTGATGAAATTCTGTCTCAAAGAGAAAGAAAAGATGAAGGTGAGGGAGGGAGGGGGCTAAGCTCTGCAGTTGCTCCACTGGCAATCGCATGGTCCAGAGGACATGGTGAGAATAGAACCTTGCTAAGTGCAGGGTGCCAGGTAAAGTCTAGAACCCATGATGGGCTTTTTGTGGTCTGTATCTACAAAAGAATCCTCCCTGAAGTAAAGCTCTTGAGGTTTGAAATAACCCATATTCAATCCTTACCACAACCCTCTGAAATAGGTACTATGATTTACCCTTTGCTTTTGGCATCTGTGATATGTGTTCGTGTTCATGTGTACCTGTTTGTGCATGGTGTGGAGGCCAGATGTCAACACTGGGTGTCTTCCTCATTAACTCCCCACCTTAGTTTCTAAGGCAGGGTCTCTTACTAAATCTGAAGCTGGCTTATTTGGCCAGACTAACTGGCCAGCAAGCCCCCAAGGATCCTTGTATTGCTATATTCCCAGCGCCAGGGTTGCAGACACACCCTGCTGTGTCCCCCATTTTTATGTGGGTGCTAACTCAGGTCCTCATGCTTGCCTTGCAAGAACTTCACTGACTGAGCCTCTCCCAAGCCCCACGATTTGCCTGTCTTCTAAGTGAGGAAATGAAAGCCTGGAGTGGGAAAAGTGGCTCTGAATTAGTTTTGTTCAGGCCACATGTAATATACATGGACCTAATGCTGTCTAGCACACAGTAAGCACTAAATATGGACTAACCACTTCTCTTATAGCTTGAAAGCCAGGATAACAGGGAAGGTCAGAGGTACTGCCTGGCCTGGGTAGTACCAAGCTGCCCCAGCTCAGAACTTCCTCCTTCATGATACCAAGACACAACACAGTTGTGGCAGGTGTGGCAGAGGGAGCCTCTCCTGAGTCCTGCCACCCACCTTTCTTGCTCTGTCATTAGTGTTCTAACTGTCATCTAGCAGCATTCGGTCTAACTACAAGCACAGTGTACTTTTGGAGGGCTCATCTTCCTCACCCAACCAGGCAGAGCATTTTGGGGCAAGTTTTTCAATTATTTTGGCCATAGGATATAAATACTAAGCGTAGGATGCCAGACAGCTCGTGGCCACAAATCACATGTCTTCTTCCTCAGAGTTTCATGCCCCCACACTGCTGAGGGGAACTGTGAGATCTAGAAACCACTTCTAGAACCAGTGGAAGGAAAAGCAAATGCCATATTCTCTACCTTGGAGAAGAGGTTCTCCTAAGGTTTGCCTTTGGAGGTCATAACTCCTGCTTTCAACAGTCAAAGAGGCAGCCTCACCTGTGCTGAAGAGCTGTCACCCTGATTTCAGAGGAGCAAACTGCCAGTTAAGTCAAGTCATCTGATAGATGGGGAAAGAGCACTGACATGTCTCTCCTGGTCTGTGTGCACCTTTGATGACAACACCTCAAGGATGCTGTCAGAACCACCATTAATTACCAAATCACTGCTGAGTTTGCATGTTTTAATAGAAGCACCTTAAATAAAAGACTTCAAACCCCATTTCATGATGCTAAATGAAGTGTTGGTTCAAGAGGGCAAGAGAGCAGTCATGCCTTAAGATCAGAAAAGCAAGTGTGCAGATAGGAAGGGTTCAAATGTCAAGAAAAGGAGGGAGAGCAAAGGCTTGACGGAAACCAAGCCGAGCTCTATGGGAAATTTAGGACGTACTCTTCATGAAGCATGTAAAATATACTTTTAGCCCTTTTATTTTTGACAGGTTAAGAACATGGGGGCCAGGAAAGGAAGTGACTTCCTGCCTGTGTCCCATGTCAAATAAATGATGGAACTGGGATGTAAATCTGCCTCTCCACCCCTAGACTACATGGCAAAAGGAGACAGGATGGCCAAGATATGAGGCTACAAGCACTACGGTTCCACAGTCCCCGACCAGTGCCACTGCAGGCAGCAGCTAGGGAGTGAGCCAGACTTTCTTCTGACATAGATTGGAAGGACAGGTGGGAGAAGGGTGATCAGAGGGCTTGTGCTGGGTGAGAAAAGAAAATACAATGAAAAACACATTCAAGAAAACACTGGAACGCTGTTCCTGGGTAATCTTGGAGCAACACTGCCCAGAGGTGTCTCTAAGGAAGTACTAGGACAGCTGTGAGAAAACAGAAAACATCGACAAGCCAGTGGGCAACCCCTTTGTGCCCAGCACTGGGAGGCAGAGGCAAGCAGGCCTCCCAGGCCAGCAGCCTGGTCTATGTACCTAGTGAGTTCAAGGCTAGCCAAAGCTGCATAGGGAAATTCTGACTCAAAACAGCTAGGTGTGGTGGTACACAACTTTGATCCCAGCACTCAGGAGGTAGAGGCGGGTGGATCTCTGTGAGTTCCAGGCCAGCTAGGGCTACAGGGAGACTGTCTCAAAAAGACCGCCCCCCCAAAAAAGACAAAACAAAAACACAGGGTAGTCTGGAAGCTTTCCTTGAAAATGAGAACATGTGGTCCACACCTGTAATTTCAGCCCTCAGAAGGCTGAGGCAGGAGGATCACAAGTTTCAGGCCAGCCTGGGTCACAGAAATAGATTTTGCCTCAAAAAAGACAGGGAGTGGAGAATGAGATTTCTCTGCACCTGGCTCAAGTGACCACAAAAATCTAAAAACTGAGCGAAGCCCAACCAACACAAGTACATTGATCTTTGCATTTACAATTGGAAATTTCTGAAAATTCCTTAAACTTCAGTGTCTAAATTAGGGCATGTAGATAGCATTAGTGTCAACTTGACACACCTGGGTTGAGGAAGCCTCAACTGGGAATTGCCTCCACAGTTACTGGCCTGTGGCCATGTCTGTGGGGCACTGTGGGTGGTGCCATCCCTGGGCAGGTGGGCCTGTGTGGCATAATAGGCTGAGTGGGGGCCAGGGGAGCAAGCCAGTAAGCAGCATTCCTCCATGGCCTGTGCTCCAGCTCCTCCTCCAGGTTCCTGCCCTGAGTTCCTACCTTGGGCTCCCTGATGAACTGTGTGACCCGGGAGATGTAAGTCAAATAAATCCTTTCCTCCCCAAGTTGGTACTGGTCAGAGAATTTTGTCACAGTAATGGAGAAACAAACTAGAACAAGGTGTCAGAGATACTCCAAAAGCTAAAGAGAGGCAAGCTTTTAAAAAAAAAAAAAAAAAAAAACACTGCCAATAAGCACACAACAATGTCCATCTTCCATTTGGCTCTTTTTATTAGAGAAACTGAGAAGACAGCAAATAGGGAAACCCCATAGTGAATGGAACCATTACACAGATGCCTTCTGGAACCCCAACCTTCTATGATCCCCAAAAGTGTGCTTTGTGACTTCAGCAACTTATAAAGGGGAGAGGGGAAATACTGAAAAAGGCCACTATTAAGAATGAAGGTATACAGGTCCTAATCAGCCTAGGGTCAAAAAGAAAGTTAAACATGTATGCAGAGCAAGCAAGCCTCAGACTGCTCAGAGTAAGGCATTCAGGCGCCAACCTGGTGAGTTCCCCGAGGCACCACAAGGTCAAGTGCACAAGGAGGCTGTTGGTAGTGAGCTGCGCAGACACACTCGGGCACACAGGTGCCCACACGCACCCCCAGAAAGGGAGGTTACTGGACTACACACTGGTGGTGTTGGTTCTCTTATCCTAAGAGTTTGTGCTATGTTGAACCAGATTCTTCCTGCTTTGGACCCAAAGACCTCTGCTTCTGCAGGTGTTGTCACAGGGTGGATCTCATACCCTATATTCCAAAGTACATGACCAGAAAGCAAGTCTGGCTTCTGATACATGCTCTTGTTCCCACAAACCTAGGTGAGCTTCCTTCCAGATGGACACTGTCCAGCCAAACTGTTTTCTCAAGGGATTAACACTGTTCTTAATTCTGTCCAGCACAGCACCATTCACACACTGAATCTTCTTTTGGTTTACCTAGGTCAGTGACCTTATCCAGAACCCAAATACTCCTAAGTTCTTCCCAAGTTTTACAATGGAGTCTTTTTTTCCTGGATCTCCAGCTGTAACTGAAGATTTGAAGGGAAAAGCAGAACAATAGCCATGAAAACACTACTGAATAAACAGGACAGCCTTCTCATAATCCCAAGCATCCCTTCTGAGGATGTCTGGGGCCTGGGGTGTTTCATTCCAATAGCTACAATCTCCAGGATGGAATGCCACAGCCTCAAGTCTTGGAGAGCAGCAACCCAAGACTCACTCAAGTGCTTAGCTTCTCGTTCAGGGGCCCAAATCAGAATTCTAGGAGGCAGGTCCCACTTCTTCCCACCCCCCACTCTCAAAACCATAACAAGGTGGCCAGAGGACAAGAGAAATTATTTGTAACTTGTAGCAGCAATTCAGATTGTGGGCTTATGTTACCAGACTCCCCGACAATAATATACTGTTCTCTTTTTAACATTACCCTTGCAAAGTAGGATTTGGTGAGTGCTGACTGTTCATGGTGGGTACTGTTGGCTTTCTTATTCAAGGAGAGCTGAAAAGTCTGTCACTCTAAGCTTGCCAAGACAACACAAAAGGAAAAACCCATTCCTAGTTCAAATTCCTAGTCCATGGCTTTCCCAACCTGCCTATGGGACACCTCAAGTGGGACCTATGCACATCAGAATCTTGGCTGGCTCCATGCCAAGAGCTATGATGCCAAAGAAGGCAGTTTTTAATTTCCAGGGTGAAGAAGGGTAGTCAGGGCAGTGATACTTAATAGAGAAAAGTTTGCCAAATGGCCCAGAGCTTCATAGCAAGGACCTCGAAAACTGCCGCACCTCTACTCAGGTAAGAAACTATCACCTAAACGGGATGCCAGGAAAAAACAAGACAAGCTCCTACACTAATGCCCCCAGAGGTCCTCCTCCATCTTCATCCCCTCTTTATCAGCATCCATGGCAGGACTAAAGGATCCCTGGCCACATGACAGTCTCAAATGACACCTGAACTAGAACCTTTACCTAACATCCTGTTGGTCATTTATGCTCTGCTTCCTCTGAGAAAGCTCACACCTGCTCCCTCCACTTCTCCCTCTCCCTCAGAACCCCTAAGGCTCTCTGTCTTAGAGTGGTCAGGAAATCTGTGGGCTCGGGCAGGAACCTCTGCCCCACCAGGATCCAAGTATGTCAGCCTGTGGAAGGCACCTTGGTGCACCAAGACATCCTGCATTCTGGAGCTACCACTTCATCCTTCTTCGGTCACTTTGTGCAAGATTGAAACAGTGTGTGGTACTTGCATGTTTCATTCTTTACAAAAATTCTCCCTCCCTCCCCCGCCCCTATGTTTTAAATGTTTATATAAATTCTTATTTAAACAGTAAATTAGAAATCTTATTTACATTAATTTCTTTGTTCTCCCAAAGGAGCGCCTAAAATCGTACTCCCACCCTTTTATGGGATATAAATGTTCACCTAAATTGGTTTTGATTATTGTTTTAAGGAGCTCCAGTGGCGCAAACAACTGGCGCGTGGTACTCACATGTATTACTGTTTTAAGGAAAGAGAAAGGGAGAAGAAAGGACCACCAGATAAAACTGCTTCCCCATCTTCTACAAATAAATAGGATACAGATCAGAAGTCAGTTTGCCAAGATCTTGAAAGCTCTCCATCGGTAGACCCCAAGAGAAGTCAGCATATGGGCTATTTCTCCTTTTCTCCAAATTGATGCACTTCATCCTTTGAGGTATAATTTATTTTTGTTTTTCTCTTCTTAGTCTTGTACCCCATGGAGCCCCTGGGCCATCACAAGGCCCATGAAGCTGTCCAAGTTTTGGGGCTTCTCTGGCACTGGCACCGACAGCCAGTAAGAGGCCTGCGGGAGCTGCAGGTCTGGGTTCAGGGTCTCAGTCCCTGGCTACTGGTAAGTATCACAGTGCATCCTCTTCAGTGCAGCCCCCACCAATCATGAAACGGAATTCCTGCAGGTTTGAGACGCCATGGAAGTGAACGAAGGCACCAGCAACCACAAAGATGTGGAACAGCTGATGAGAGTGAAACTGGAGGGAGAAAAGAGGCGGGGGAGAAACCCATCATTATTACTATTTCTGCTAAAGACACCTAGGGCTACTGCTTCCCAGCGTGCACTGACAGGAAGCAGGATACATGTGACAGAACTCAATTCAAGGTACCCACAGGTACAAGAACATCCACTAGGCACCTTATAGTCTGCTGAGTCAAAGCCAGCTGTGCCCTAAAGAAACACACATACTGACACTAAGCTACAGACAAAGCTGCACGATGAACACAGCGAACATAGGGGCAAATGCCATACAGACCCTTGCAGTTAGACAACACAGATCACAAAGTTCCCAAGGCCCCCTTGACAACTAGCAGCAGGATATGGTTTACTGATGGATAAGAACAGTAGAGCTATGGCCACTTAAATCCTGCTCTCCAAATATGTTCAACATATAATTTATATATGAAAATGTCTTTATTTAACAGTACTTTTAAATTTGTTTAAAGTAGGGACTGGAGCGATGGCACAATCGGTAAAATGTTTGCCACATAAGTGCCAAGACCTGGCTTCAAACCCATTATTACCTAAATAAAAAGGTGGGAACAGTAGCAAGCACCTATAATCTCAGCACTGGAAAGGCAGAGACAGATGGATTCCTGGAGTTCACAGACGAGCTAGTGTAGCCAATCAGTGGGCTCCAGGTTTAACCAGAGATCCTGTCTCAAAAAATAAGGTGGACAGGGACTGAGGAAGATACCGACCATTGACCTCTGGCCTCTACACACACATATACACCCACCACACCACACACCACACATGCATACACAAAATGTTTCTCTCTGTTAGGAAAATTAAAGGAACTTCTAGTATTCAGTAGAAGGCCACAGGAAAAGGTCCTTGGAGTTTCCTTCTGCATTAAGATTCAGGAATCACATGAAAACCAGAAGACTGGGCAAATACTTCTACTTCCTTCTCAAGTCAGAGCTGGTCTACAAGCACATGATGCTATTTCTGATTTTTCTTATTCTGCTGAATGTTACTTTACATCTTAAGAAGAGCGACCGGTTTGCTCAGTACACCACAATTTTCTTCAGAAATTACAATATTCTCTCATAGTCTCAAGATGAAAAATTACAGCAGCAAAGCATATTTATCAGGGGAAAGAACTGATTTTAGAAGTATAAATAAGAAGCTAAAAGTTATATCCCATAAGGTGTTTCCTAGGAAACCAAAGGGAATTAATTCTCCTAAAGGTTGAAATGTCTATGTTCAATCTGTGTCAAAAGTATGAGGTGGCAATCTCAAAAAGGTAAATTAACTAATCTGAAGCTCCAAAGATGGCTTGAGCTCAGGCTTATCTTCCCTTTATAGACAGCTAAACTAAACATCTAAGACACTGGATGGCCAGTTCAGCCTACACCTGTCAGCAACGATGAGAAGCAGGCCTGCCCAGGTCGGATCTTGAACCATGAGTTCTCCAACTCTTACCACATTACTGAGAATAGTTCAGATCCTCTCCAGCTACAAAGTTCTATCTCCATGGGCCCCTCACATTTTCTTTTCTTTCTTCTCTTCCCTAGTGTCTCACCATTAACTACAGTCTAGTTACCGCCCCCTCCACTAGACATCTACAGACTCAATTTCTCATCACTTATCACTGGCTTTTGGTATCTGAAAGAGCTCAGGGTCAGTAAAATGGCTCAGTAGGTGAAAGCACCTGTTGTGCAAGCCTGACAATCTAAATTCAATCCCTGGAACCATGGGAAAGGAGAGAGCCAACTCCCCAAAGTTGTCCTCTGACTCCACATGCATGCTACAGAATGTGCATCCTATCCCACACACCTATATCAAACACATACAGCAATAATAAAATAAAAATTAATAACTATGCCATCTTTTTTTCAAAAAAGGATTAGGCCAGGCATGGTGGCGCATGCCTTTAATCCCAGCACTCAGGAGGCAGAGGCAGGCAGATTTCTGTGAGTTCGAGGCCAGCTTGGTCTCCATAAGTGAATCTAGGCCTGCTGGGGCTACAGGGAGACCCTATCTCAAAAAGACCAAAAAAAAAAAAAAGAATTGTAGTAGAAGATGATCCTCCTTTCATAAGTTAGAAAATAGAAACAGAAGGGAAATAGAGAGAGAATCGCTAATTACTCTTCCGTACAGTACAGCAAACAAGAGCACAGATAGACACTAAAACCGGCTTGGTTCCAATTCAGATTCTTCCAACTGATAGCCATTTGCCTTAGACAAGTTGCCAAACATTCCTGGGCCTTAGTTACCTAGTCTGTAAAATGGAAACAGCAATATTTATGCCTGTGGCACTGATAACTCCAGATGAGTCAGTGCATGCACAGTACTCAGTACTGTGTTTGGTACCACGTGCTCAAACAATGAGTTATTACCATGCTTACTGTCCAGAGAGACCCAGATGAGAGATAGATTTAAGACTAGAACACAAGTCTCTCAATTTTGAAACTTTTTTTATTTCATCATTTTCCAGTGCGCCAACAGCATACTAACAACAGGCACATATGCCTAATCACCACTGATCACACTTACCCAGATGTCACATTTGCCAGGGAAGAAGCGTTCAGGGATGCGGGCAGCATAGAGGGCAGCTCCTGTGATATAGAGGCTGGCCATGAGCATCAGCCAGCCTATCTGCCCAATGGTGGCAGCCTTCAGGAAGCCCTCTGAGATGACATAGTGCAAGGTGGGGATGATTCCACTCAGGCCTAAGCCCAGAAACACTCCTAAGACATCATAAGAATGGAATAAAAAGAAAACACACAACAGAAATAAGAAGTCTATATTACAGCATAGTACTATTTACTCTGTCAACTTAAAATTTCAAAGTAAGATGCAACATTGCCTTAAAGGAAAAAGAAGGTCCTTCAAACTCTGGAACACTGTCATACAAGACAACACAGCTAGGTTCTAAAGCTCTATTTACAAATGCAAGGAGTCGCCTAGTAAGCCAGGCTCAGAGTCAACAGTAAGTAGCCCTGAGGATCAGAACCATGTTGCTAAGAACTTTAGGAAAGCTTGGGGAGCTTGTTTCAGCTTCTTCAACTGCTGCCCTTTTACAGACACAGATTGTAATACTGATGGCACTTTTCATTCATTTAGTCAAAGGCTAAGGACTTCAGTTCTTCTGAGGTTTATAAACAGTACAATGCTCAGCTCCACTTGGCGAAGATGTTCTCTCTCTCTCTCTGTGTGTGTGTGTGTGTGTGTGTGTGTGTTCTCTGCATGTATGTAAGTGCACCCAAGTCATACAATGCCCAGGGAGGTCAGAAGAAGGCATTGGATCTCCTGGAACTGGAGTTACAAACAGATGGCTCAGCAGTTAAGAGCTCTGGCTGCTCTTGCAGAGGACCCTGGTTTGATTCCCAGCATCCACATGATGGCTAACAAGCCTGTGTAACTCCAGTTCCAGGGGAATCCAACACCCTCTTCTGACACGGGTGCACTTACGTACTTGCAAGCAATACACTCACACACATTAAAAAAAAAAAAAATGTTTAAATAAGCCAGGCATAGTAGTGCACACCTTTAGTCCCAGCAGTTGGGAAGCAGAGACAGGCAGATCTTTGTGAATTTGAAACAAGCTTGATCTACATAGCAAGTTTCAGGCCAGCTAGGGCTATAGGGAGACCCTGTCTCATAAAGACAAAAAAAGTTTAAATAAAAATATAAAACAAAACTAAAAATAAGCACAAAAAGAATCAGCCAATACAAAATAGGCTGAGCTAAAAGAATAAGAAGTCACAATTTCATAAGAGCAGCAGAGTTACCACCCTATGGACTTGTAAACACTGCTCAAAATACGTATCTGCACACCCTCATCACTGCCCCTCAACTTTGTGACTACAGCTACCAGGTTAAAAGTCCCTCAACAGGACTGAGCTTTCTTCATCTCTGCACTGCAAATGCATAGCATGTGTTTGTAAACAGCAGACCCTAAATGAATGACTGGTAATAACTGCATGTCCACATGCACTTACCTGCTCTGACCCCCCGATACTGAGGGGTGGCAAACATGTCCCACTGGGAGACAATAATGGCTGCAATGCCCAGCACACAGATGACAATCAAGTAGATGAAGCAAGGTTGTGGATTACAGTAGAAAGAATAATAAAGCCAAGGAACAAAACTTCCCATAATCAGAAGAGCAATACCAGAGTAATCCAATCTAGGATTGAAATTGAAAAAACTCGAGTTAATGAAAAAATTACCATCCATTACAGGTAGCAATTAATCCCCCATGACATAAAACCATTAACAACAATGAGGAGAGGAGGTAAGGATCACCTGCTTTAATTAAGGGGCAGCGTCCCATGTGGGAGCATCAAGAATCCTGCCAGCTCTACTGGTTAGCTTTCCCTGCCACTATCCCTAAACCACAGATGACAACATGGACTACACAGATACTTACTTAGAGAAGAGTCGGGAGACCCCTTCTGAATGGCAGTAGACTGTGTGGAAGAGCCATGAAAATGAAAGGCAGAGAATGGCTCCCAAGAAAAATAATCCAAAGACCACTTTCTCTTGAAGAGGGGCCACAAAGGATATATTTGGGCGAAACATATAAAAGATCCCCAGGCACAGGAAGAATACACAACCTAGTAAAAGAATGCAAAGGATAAATAAAATGTCATCTGTTTGAAGGGATGGTGTTATGCACTGTGTTCTCAATTTTTCTCAGTAGCAATGATACCTGAATCATAAATTCTGTGAGAAAAATGTTTCCAAATAACTGAGTTTACCCGAAACTATAGTTTATTTAAGATATTGTTGGTACATATATACTTCAGCTTCACACACACAACACACACAAAGTGGCTGGTTGAGGCTACAGCTCAACTGGCAGAGTGCTTGCCTAGCATAACCTGGAGGATCAGAAGTTCATGGTATCCTCAGCAACCAAGGGAGTTTGAGGCCAGCCAGGGATATATGAGATTCTAGCTTAGGAAAGGGAAAGGAAAGGAAAACATTCACCTAGGAACACAATCCAAAAAGAAACTAGATAGTACAGTTACTTCTTAGATTCAGTATAGAATTCCATCTATCAAATTCTGACATACATGTTGTAAGCTAGCTTTCAGAGGTCCATCTCACTCGCTTGTAGATGCTAAGGAGCACTGTGCTGTTTCTCTGGTCCTCATTAACTGGCCCAGTACTTTAGAGTTAGAAATTTCATACCTGATTTTTGTTGTTGGGGGCGTGGGGGGGGGTTGTTTTGAGACAGGGCCTCATGCCCACTTCGGTAGCACATATACTAAAATTGGAATGAGACAGAATCTCCCTGTAGCCCCAGCTGACCTAGAATTTGCATTGTAGACCAGGCAAGCCGGCCTCAATCTCATAGAGATCTGCCTCTGCCTCTCTGCCTCTACTTCTCCACCCTCTGCCTCTCTGCCTCTGTCTCTGCCTCTCTGCCTCTACTTCTCTGCCTCTGCCTCTCTGCCTCTGCCTCTACCTCTGTCTCTGTCTCTGCCTCTGTCTCTCCCTCTCTGCCTCTGTCTCTCTGCCCTCTGCCTCTACTTCTCTGCCCTCTGCCTCTACTTCTCCGCCCTCTGCCTCTGCCTCTCTGCCTCTGCCTCTGCCTCTGTGCCTCTGCCCTCTGCCTCTACTTCTCTGCCCTCTGCCTCTACTTCTCCGCCCTCTGCCTCTGCCTCTCTGCCTCTGCCTCTGCCTCTGTGCCTCTGCCCTCTGCCTCTACTTCTCTGCCCTCTGCCTCTACTTCTCCGCCCTCTGCCTCTGCCTCTCTGCCTCTGCCTCTGCCTCTGTGCCTCTGCCCTCTGCCTCTACTTCTCTGCCCTCTGCCCTCTCCCTCTATCTCCCAAGTGCTGGGATTAAAGGCATGAGCCACCATGTCCAGCTGTTCGGTTATTTTTGATGGAGGTGTTTTGGTTTTGTGGGGTTTTTTGCTGTTGCTACTGTTTTTGTTTTGGTGCTGGGAACTGAAACTAGTACCTTATAACATGCCAAGCACTCTACCACTGAGCTATGTCCCCAGCTCTCCTCCTTGCTTACAAATAAACAAATAAGCAAACACAGCAAAAACACAACTTTAGTGTGTCCATGTATATGCACTAAGCCACTGAACCAGTCCACTCTTTGTATTTTTGGAGACACCTTCACTAAATTGCCCAGACTCACTCTAGCCCAAGTAGGCCTTGAACTTGTGATCCTCCTGCCTCAGGCTTCCATAAAGCTGTGTCACCAGACCTGGCTCATACTCAATTCTGTGACACCATGTTCTTATTGCTTAGAGAAGGCTAAGGAAGGCACAGATAGAAGCTGATGATTCTATTTTATCATTTTAATTCATTTTAACCATAATTTTCGATATTTCATTTTTATTTTATGTACATTTCCTGCATGTATATAAGTGCAGCCATGTCGTGCATTGCCTGTAGAGGCCAGAAGAGGACGTCAGATCCCCTGGAACTGGAGTTATGTATGAATGGTTGTTTGCTGACATGTGGGTGCTGAGAATCAAATCAGGGTTCCCTACAAGAGCCATCAAATCTCTTAACTGCTGAGCCATCTCTCCAATCCCCCAAAATAATTCTTTAAGGATGTTATTTATTTTTATTTTATGTGTATGAGTGTTTTGCCTGCATGTATGTGAGTGCACCATATACATGCCTGGTGCCTGCAGAAGCTTGGAAGAGGGTGTCAGATACCCTAGAACTTGAGCTAAGGATGGTTGTTAGCCACCATGTGGGTGCTGGGAACTAAACCTGGGTCATTCGAGGAGTACTAAGTGCTCTTAACTGCTGAGCCATCTCTCCAGCTCCCAAAACAATTTTTTCAAAAGTATCCTTGACTTTGATGCCACCTATAAACTTGATGAGATGCTCTGTTCCACTCTCACTACACTAGCAGACAAGAACTTGAAGGTACAGTAGAAACCAAACATGAGATAAGAAATACAAGTCATTGGGGCTGGAGAGATGGCTCAGCAGTTAAGAACACTGGCTGTTCTTGCAGAAGACCCGGGTTCAAATCCCAGCACCCACACGGCAGCTAACAACGGTCTGTAACTCCAGTTCCAGGGGATCCGACAGCCTCTTCTGTCCTCCACGGGCATTATACAACACAGGTGCACTTACCTACATGCAGGCATAACACTCATACACATAAATCTTCTGTCCTCCACAGGCACTGCACAACACAGGTGCACTTACCTACATGCAGGCATAACACTCATACACATAAAATAAAAACTTAAAAAAAAAAAAAAGAAAGAAAGAAATACAAGTCACATGGAGTAAAGCACACTCACAAGGCTGCACAACTATCATGTCTAATTCCAAAACCTCTTCGACACACCAAACAGCTTTGAACCTGGTGTCATCCAACATTCTCTACTCCCTCCAGCACTAAACTACAAATCTACTTTCTGTCTCTATAGATTTGCCTTTTCTGGACATTTCACATACATGGAATCACACAATTATGTAGCCTGCTGTGTCTCATTTTGTTTAATTAGCAAATGTTTTAAGAACTCACTTGGTTGCAGTATCAGTAATTCACCCCTTTTGTGGCCAAATAACATTCTTTGCAAAAAAAAAAAAAAAATGTTATTTTATTTGTTACTTTTGTGTGCATGTATGTGAAGATTAGAGAGCAAGTTCTCCTTCCATCATGTGGGTCCCGGGACTGAATTCAGGGCATCAGTACCTTTACTCACTAAGCCATCTCACTAGCTCCCAGATAATGTTCTATTAGAAGGATATATCATATTTAGTTTACTGATTCATTAGTTGGTTGCTACTACTTATCAGCTATTATTAATGTTGCTATAAATATTCTTGTATATCTTTTGTGTGAACATGAATTCAATTATCTTTTTAAAATATTTTTTGTTTATCCATTTAATGTGAATGAGTGTTTTGCCTGCATGTGCACCTGTGTCCTGCAATGCCCACAGAGGTCAGAAGAGGGCACTGGATCCCCTGGAACTGGAGTTACAGACCATTAGCCACCATCTAGGTGCTGGGAATCAAATTAAACCTGGGTCCTCTCCAAGTGCAGCCAAGTGCTCTTAACCACTGAACCATCTCCCCAGCTCCTCAATTATCCTGAGTATGCACCAGGTGTGGAATTATTAGTGACTCTGTAACTTTTTGAGGTAAGTTACTAGTAACATAAAAAGTTCTAATTTCAAGCTAGATGTGGTGGCGCACACCTTTAATCCCAGCACTCGAGAACCTGGAACAAGCAGATCTCTGTGAAGTCAATGCCAGTCTGATCTATATAGTGAGTTCCAGGCCAGCTGGGGCTACAGGAAAACCCTATCTCAAAAACACAAAAAAGAAAAGAAAAGTTCTAATTTCTCTCCATATCCCAGCCAAGGCTTATTTTCCATTTTCCTGATCATAGAAATCCTGGAGGGAGTAAAGTGGTATTTTATTGTACTTCTCAGTACATCTAATTTGTATTTCCTTATATGACTGATGAGAATAAGTATTGCTCATGCGCTCACTGGCCATTTGTATACCTTCTCTGTAGAAACATGTGATTTGAAAAGATCACTATTTTGTCTTTTTAAGTTTCTTAACAATATTTGTGACAATGTGCAATTTATTTTATTTATTTTATAATTTTTTGATTAAAAATTTACTTTCAGGAAACAGGTATTAATAAGAGAGATATGGATAAAAATGGGGTTATAGCCGGGCATGGTGGCGCACGCCTTTAATCCCAGCACTCGGGAGGCAGATGCAGGCGGATCTCTGTGAGTTCAAGGCCAGCCTGGTCTACATAGTGAGTTCCAGGACAGCTGGGGCTACAGGGAGACCCTGTCTCAAAAAGACCAAAAAAAAGGGAGGGGGGGTATTTTAATGGGAGGGAGAAGGGAGGGTTATACAAGGAACCTTGGGGATAAAGGGAAAGAAGGAACTCAAGAGAGGAGAGACCTTAGGAGAAAGGTATTATTAAGGGAGAAATGGGGAAAATGGGGAAACCACGGTGGAAGGGTTAGACAATCAGAGAGAAATAATGCCTAGATAGTTTTTTAAAAAACGAGAGGGAACCATATTAGTCCAACAATCTACTGACAAATTATACATACAATTAGCTCAAAGAACATAACATATGTCTAGTCAAGGTTTATCGGAGAACGTTTGGTTTTTGCCCACGCTTTATCTACGTAGCGCATGGTAATTAAAAGTACCAGACTGGTGGAACTAACCTTCTTGGGTATTTAACGCCATACTGTGAGGCCTATACTAATCTGGTCAGAGGGACTTAAAGGACAGTTTTCGCTCCTTGCCCTCCAAGGTCAACTAAGTTCCAGGGGACTATGGAGCATCTCTCAAAATGTCCTGTAACTGTGGTGAGTCACCTGTCCTCTTGATCAAGGAGGCCATGGAGACCCCACCAGATGGACTTGAGCCAGTGTCCAATCTACAAAGAGGAGGGTCAACACAGAGGAAACATTTCCTCCATGCTTCCAAGTGAAGCCAGCCATGATCGAGCAGGACCTTTGACTTATCTTCACATAGATGGAACTAGTAAAAGAAAGGAGGCAGGAGCTCCTCCCAATCCCATGTGACCCCTGAAGAACAGATCCTCAAACAATCTTATTCTTTAAATTTTTTAAATTTTT